TTCGCACTGCTTGCGGGCCAGACAGCAGGAATACCAGACATTATTTAACCAGAAGCTCATTTGATCCGACGTCAAACCACTGGATTGATTACATTCTACCCCTCCCTCTCAGGCCCTCCTCGTTCCGCAGAGTCTTCTGCCGAACCAGAGGCCGCCTGGGTCTCACCGGTTACTCCAATTATCTTGTGTCTCATTGGTCCTGGTAACATTCCAACCCTGCTTCTCCCAGTCCAGATCCAGAGTCTTGGCATGCTGTATTCTGGGAGAAGTCGGCTCAGCCCCTCTGCTGGGTGGGAGGGCACCCACTGGTGTGATCCTGGTCCAAGCCACAGCCCTAGCTGTAGCTCTCAGCTGGGCGAGGGAGCAGCACACAAAGCGGGACAGAAACATAACGAGTCTGAAGGGGTCTCCCAGGCCATCTAGTCTGACCCACAGCTCCAGCCGGCTCTGCTCATGGAACACCCAGCATGTGGCCGTCCAATCCCGGCTGTTTTCTTTGATCCCCACTCATGAATGCTGGCTGCTGCTTGAACCCCAGAATCCCTGCTGTTACCACCAAGTCAAGACCCACAATACCAGAGAGAATCCACTGTAGAGCACTGCTCTCTCTTCCCCTCCACTGGGAGGACCAGTGGCAGGCTGAGTGCTTCCTCCCCAGGGAGGGAAGCTGTGGAGAGGGCAAAGCGACCCTGGTCAAGGCAAGGGAGAGGCCCCATGCCCTAGAAAAACCCTCCGGCCTTTTCATGTGGGATCAGGTGGGGCAAGAGGTTGGGATACAGCACCACCAGGCTTCTGATCGTATGTTAGAGTGCCCTGCACACTGGGTACCCAGGTCGGTATGGCTCTGCACACAGAAAGGCCCAGAGCCGTTAGCCGGAGAGCATCTTTCTTACCACCGTAAACAGCAGCGATGAATCAAAGCAGGGAAGATGGTTTCCAAGCATGTTCGCTAATATTTAACCTTCACGCGTTCTCCCTTTGTTTGTTGGTTCATTCTTAGGGAGGCATGGAAGTATTGGCTTGTGCAAGAAGCATTATTATGGGTAGACTTCATTTGCAATCGGTGCGTTTGGTATGGGACTTCTGGTGAGGGGCATTTGTATGACTGGTTCAGGAAGTGTTGGACGCCCTTCGAAATCAGCCTCGTTTGTCCTCAGCAGCCACGCTACATGTCGAAAGGTTAGTTTGCAGTGTCTGTTAGCTGACACGAACCTGGGAATTATTTGATATATTTAAAAGTTGGCACACATTTGCCCCATAAAGGCATGAGGCACAGAAGTACATGAACCAATTGACATGTAGCCAATCTATTTATTTTAGGATCGGTGGAGTTTTAATGTTTGTAAACCACCCAGAGAGCCCTCTGGGCTGTTGGGGTGGTATATAAATGCAATAAATAAAATGAACAAGGGCACAGTTGTTGCTTCGCAGTAAAAATAGAGCAGGGTAGACTTGGGCCTGCTTATCAGTTTCGACATCTTCCCGAGTGTTCACAGTGGGATGCTCTCCTCTTGTTTTTCATGAAGCCCACGGCTTTTCTGCACAGCGTGAGGTTATCGCTGGGTCGTTTCCGCTGAACTCTCCGCTTGGGAGAAGAGCGGGACGTGGCTAGCACTTGCTGCTCTGCCGATCCATTTTTGTGTGTCTCCTTTGTGCTGGGAATATGCAGCCCTGTTGCCAAATGATGCAGTCGGAGCTCCTGGGTCTCATTTTGTGGGGTTGCCTCCCATTTTCTGCTGACCTTTGTTTGTTGGTAACCCGAGGCATCCTCATTATTCCTCTGAACCCCGAATTAAGGAGTAGCTGCCATCTCCAACTCTCGCTTGTTTGGAAAGAGCCGAAAACTGGTTGGAGTGGTCTCGGTATGCCATGGCATGCTGGAAGTATGTCCTGGACCAGGAATCCTGTGGCACTGAGTGTCCACTGCCTTCCAGAAGGACTGTTCCACATTTTGCTGTGTGACAACCTGGAATTAATCAACACTGTCATCTCCCGAAGTACACAAGGCACACGACTCTGTGGAGTTGCCAAATATGTTTCCTGTGGCACAAAAGTTAAGTAAGCAACACCAAACCGATCCTTGCTAGTTGCAGAAGCAGTCGCCCTCTTCACAGCTGCAGCTTTCCTGGATTATCTCTGGTGCGCCCCGCTGCCTCCAGAAGTCACATCCCGCACGTAGTTGAACGGAGTCCACCTGTGTGCAATTTGAGCGCCGCATGAGCTCCGATTAAATGCTTCTGCTTCTGGAAGGCCCGGAATTATTAGTTGGAGAGCAGATCTAAGTAAATGAAAACCAAGGAATTAATCAACACTGTCATCTCCCGAAGTACACAAGGCACACGACTCTGTGGAGTTGCCAAATATGTTTCCTGTGGCACAAAAGTTAAGTAAGCAACACCAAACCGATCCTTGCTAGTTGCAGAAGCAGTCGCCCTCTTCACAGCTGCAGCTTTCCTGGATTATCTCTGGTGCGCCCCGCTGCCTCCAGAAGTCACATCCCGCACGTAGTTGAACGGAGTCCACCTGTGTGCAATTTGAGCGCCGCATGAGCTCCGATTAAATGCTTCTGCTTCTGGAAGGCCCGGAATTATTAGTTGGAGAGCAGATCTAAGTAAATGAAAACCAAGCAACTCACTATAGAGTTGTGCAGAAGCACCAATCAGGCATCTTGAAGTATTGGGGTTGAGAGAGAGAGAGAGAGAGAGAGAGAGAGAGAGAGATAAGCGATTACACATATGGCATGGGATTTGTCATTTTGATAAAACATTAGACGTCTCATACAGAGCTGGTGTGGCACAGTGATTACTGAACACTGGCCGGCAGCAACAGTTTGCCAGGGTTTCCGGCAAGATCTTTTGCAGCCCAAGCTGGGGATTGAACTTGGGACCTCTGCATTCCAGCCACATGTTTTGCAGCGTGCGTCGCTTCCTTATTGATAGAAAGATTTTCTGCATGGCTCATTGGATCTGTGATCTGTAAGCTACAATCACTAAAATAAAGACAAGGTTAATGTTTTCTATTGTGTATCTCCTGCCTAAATCTAGAGGCTCAGTGAGGCTAAACAGCCGCAATTCACCTGTATGTGAATGTTTCCAGAAATGCCCACATTTTCCTGTAATTTCCAAGAGCCTTGGATTAAACTGTGCAGGATTTCTTAGATTTAAACCATTGATAAAATCGTGCTATGAAACTTCTACCTGTATCCATGCCAAAATGTTTCATGGTTGAAATCTGTGGTTGAAGAGATTCCTGTGTTGACACACAAGCGAGGCTTACTGAATATCTGCATTGCTTTTTAGCGCTCATTTGTTTGAGGGGGAAAAGGACGACTGCCACCAATTAAAATGGCTTTTCCTAAATAGCTATTTTAAACAGGGCCTATCTTGAAACCTGTGTACTGGATGCGGCTGCTGCAGAACATGTCTGTCTGGTTTCTGACTGAGCCCGGCTTCTAGGAAGCCCATGACACCAGTCCGCCTTCCTTCCAGTTGTGCTGGCCGTGCTGGCTGGGGATGTTGGGAGTCATAGTCCAACACATCTGCCGCACAACAGGTCAGGGGAAGCAGCGTTTTCGGGTCTACCTGCTCCCAAAGTCCCATCCATCTTTCTGCTACTAACCGTTTCTGTAAAGCAAGTGTATAATTCCCGCGTGTTACAGAAAAGGGCTTCTCATCCCGGGAGCTGAGAGAAGTTCTTGTCAGCCTCTGTGTTTTCTTCTCGCTGAAGGAATCTGGTATGGCTTCCTGCTGTGTTTAAATTGCTTTGGGAGTTATGTGGGGCTTTTGGTCACAGCCCTGACGATACTATAGAATTGAGAGTGTAGCTCATTCCCATTGAGAAGAAGCCTACAGCTCATTTGCATCCAGCTAATTAGCACTGTGCCAGTGTAATTAGACTGCTTTTGAACTCCAGTGTTGTGGTAAGCCAACAGGTGAAACAGAGCTGGGATCTTGTTTGAAAATAGCTCTTTTGCAGTTTTGTTTAAAAAAAAAAAAAAGCAGAACCTCCCAGATGGGATTCCTGCAGCACTCAGAAATGGGATTCCTATAGCACTCAGAAATGAAGTAAAGGCCTGTTTCTTTAGAATCGGGGCACGATATGCACTATTTCCATCTGTTCAAGGAAGGCTGAGTGCCGCTGTGAGCACGTCCTGGAAAATATGTCCGTTGTCCTTAACGCTCACCTTCGCTTGTGCCCGTGATTTACACCACAGAAAGAAAGCATTGGCATTACATGCATCGTGGTCTTTTCAAATGCAAGAAAGACGAATGGTGAGAAAGAAACAGCAGATCCAGCCTTTGACCAGGACAGGTTCACCCTTGTGCGTTCATGAAGGGCTATGCTTCTTCCCCATGTGCCTGCCCGCCGAGGTGGCAGTCCTGCTCCGGGAGCCAGCCCTCTTCGGAGGAAATTGGGGGGTAGCGACATGGAGAAGCGCCTTTTCAGTGGTGGCCCTCCAACTGTGGAAGATGCTCCCCAGGGAGGTTCACCTGGCACCGTCACTTTATTCCTTTCGGCATCAGGCAGAGACCTTTTGATTCTCCCAATATTTTAACAGTTAATTGGCTTTATCTTTGATTTTATCATTAAAGGTCGGATGCAGTGGGCTGTGTGCTTGTTGTATGTGGTTGTTTTGTTTCTTTTGTTTTCTGTAAGCCGTCTGGAGACTTTAGTATAGGACGGCATAGAAAAGCTTTAAATAAATAAATAAATAAATAAATAAATAAATAAATAAATGACCTACCTCACAGGGCTCTTAGGAGGATGAAATGAGGGGACTAGGGATGTTGGGCTTGAACTCTCTTGAGGAAGAAAGGATGGATATAAATGTGAGAAGTCAGTGTCTGGGTGAAGTACCACAGTCATGGCCGAATTATTCCACTGGCCGCTAGGAATGCGTTCTTCTGGCCGGCCTCCAGTCAAGCGGGGTCCTTCGAGCTGACTCATCCACAGGGAAGCCCATCCGTATCACTCACTCCTCTCGTTTTGTTTCTCCACAGTGCCCTTAAAGATAGCCGATTCCCCCCAATGACGAGGGATGAGCTGCCGCGGCTTTTCTGCTCAGTGTCTCTACTTACTAATTTTGAAGATGTCTGTGATTACTTAGACTGGGAGGTAAGGAGCTGTTTCATACGTTCATAGAAGAGAGAGCATCGTTTCATAGAAGGAAGCACCATTTATCTGTCTCCCCTATTCAGCAGGCAATGCTCTACATGCTGAGATGGAGAAAAAGGCTTGCAGCTCCCAGCATTCTCCAGCCAGTGGTCCCCACTGGGGAATTCTGGGAAAGGCAGAATCTTTTTCTGTCTAAGCATGGGCAGCACCGTGTCCTAAAGCAGTTTAGCAGCATCTTGCTGCCTCACCATCATCTATAGTCAGTTTTCTACTGCAAGTGGGTAAAACACAAAGAGAAAAGAAGGTGCTTAAAAGTCTGTGCTTAGTCAAGTACCAAACGCTCTTCTAGGGAAGTCAGACTGTTGACTCCCAACACGCACCGTTGGGGTGCCAAGGTCAAACGCCAAGGTCAAATTTTGTTTTCCCCAACCACCCTTAAATACACCCTTATCGACTCGCTTTGCCAGCTCTAAGGACCATTTCCCACCTAGACAAGAAACCCGTGTGTTGCCTGTCCTGCCTTCACTTACCGGTGGGAGCCATAGAATGGCATGAACCTCCGTAGCAAAAACAAAACCCCCAAAGTTAAAACAAGCAAAAAAGATGTCAGGGAGAAAAGATTTCTAGTCTAGCTTTTTCCTAATTTCACAGCTACTTTGCAATGCATCGGAATCGTCTCTGTCATGTAAGAAGTGGCACAAACCGCAGTTTGGACTTACTGTCTCAGAACAAGGCCTTGGAGTGAGCTTTGACTGACTGAAGCTGGCGCATCCTTTAACAAAAGTCCCGCAGGCCACACAGTAAGGACTGCATAAGAGCACTTTGTCTCTTCTCTTTCATATCCGTCGTGGGGACAACGGCAGGCACATCAAACAGTTATCATTAAAAGCCACAAAACAGGGATTTTGTAAGCCTGAAAAGCTCACAGCAAAGGAGCAGTTGGCCAGGTCTTTCTGACATCTCCTTGCTGCAGTGAGCAATTTACATTACAGTGGGAGTCCGGATAAGTTTCCGAAAACATGTCAGTTGCAACAATTATTCATACGTGGTAATCGCACAGTGCCACACACGTTCCAGCATTCTGTTTTGATACCCCTGTGATGAGTTTGAATGCAAGGTCTTCAGGGTTCCTAAATAAGTGAGCATATACGTTTTTTCCCCTATCATGCAGGGTTAAAATATGTAATTTGTGCAGTGGTGTGTTTTCACCGATAAGGTTATAAATGGTCTTTAGGGTCAGCCCTACACCGAGTCAGTTGTACAATGCTAGTTAACACTGAGAAGAATTTCCGGAGGGCACAATCAGCAGGACTTTCATACTGGAGACGCCACTTCTCTATTTAAAAAAACAAGTCTGAGTGGCAGCAGGCAGAGACTGAAGGACTGTGGATGCAGGATCCAACCCGTCTCTGGAAAATCTACTGACTTAGCAGTTTCCCAAGCTGCAGAAGGAGGAATGGGCCAGTTGCTGTACTGCTGCTTCCAAACATTAATAATCCTAAGGACGTTTTGCATGCAGCTTTGCACGCTGTGAATCGGCTTGCCCCGTGTGAAGCTGCAGTTTCCTTGGCTTTTGCACTGAAAACAAAATGCACCACATTCTTAGACAACATTTCAAATAACAGCAATTAATAACAGGAATCTAAATATGGATCTTCTTGAAAACTACATTTCTGTTAGCTATCCTAACATTTTCCAGGAGCAAAACTGTAAAGGATACAATGCAGCACACCGTGAAGAGCATTAAGTTCTTCCAATACACACTCGAGGTGTCCAAACAGCCAAAATATGGTTTCGGAGCTGATCAAAGTAGCGATTACATTATGCAATTTTGCATGTAAATGAGTAGATGGAGACACAGTTGGTGCTAGTCTTTAGTTTGTGCTGAGCTTGGGTTGCCCATTTCTTCTGTGACATTGCCAAGCATCTGCCTGATGGATATCCCCAGGATGGAGCAGAGCTTACAGCAAAGTCTCAGAAGGGTTTTCCAGATCACTTTGTAACAAAGACAGTAAAGGGTAACAGCTTTTCCTTGCAAATCCTAGAGAAGTGCAAACTGGCAAGAACCTTGCTGTTTCGTACTCCATGTTTTTCCTTTTCTGGAGAAGTTCCTCTGTTCGTTTGGTTCTGAATCGCTAGTCCACTAAGGTGTGGGAGGAGTCCGTGCATTGTCTGTGAAGGAAGCAGGTCCTTTAGACAAAATAGCACATTCCTTTGGAAAACCTGCACCCAGGGAAGGGTAAAGCACCCCCCCCATTTCGCCCTAGAAATGCTCTCATCAACCTACCCCCCCCCCTTCAATTTTCCTTCTGTAGGTTCACTTCCAGTCTCCAAGCCAAGGCTGGCAAGAATGGGGTAATGAACACGTGAGACTAGAAAATAGCCTGGAGGAGCATTTGCAGGAAGCAGACTCTGGGCAGGAATGAGCTGGAGCCCAGGTTCCCGCCAGGGACTCTTCTCCAGGAGTGCTTCCTGCCCCAGAGAGAAAGTGAAACTGCAGCTTCATTTTCTGCAGAATCGCTGAGCACCTCACTGTTTCTTTCCTCAATTGTTACTTGTTAGATGCAACATTGAGCATCAACAAAAACCACTCCTTATTTCCACGTAGCAGGAGCATTTAATTGTTGCCCTTGCTGGTTCGGTCATCATTCCCAATTCTAACAAACGCAAAAGGGGGGATTCTGGAAAGACAAGCAATTAATTGTTAAAGACCCTTAAAAGATCCTAAAATACATTTTTAGAAAGCAGGCATTGATTTGAAGGGCTCACTGAGGGGTTGTCTAACGTTCAGTTTGGCTTGGACTATCATTTCTTCCATATTTCCTATTGCACTAAGTTATTGCTTGCTCTAAATGTAACCTGAGGCAAGCCAATAGCAGCCTTTCGGAAAAGAGGAACTTCGTTGAAATGTTAGTTCGTAAAAGGATGATGCATCACTGTACTGACCCCTTAAAACTGAGACAGCTTATGTCATCCCTGTTTCTTTTAAGGGAACTGCAGTTATGCAATGTGAATGGCAAAAAGTCATTTCAAGATGGCTAGAATATGACCTAACGAGAGAAAGTGGGTCTTCCACCGGGTAGAACTGCTCATTTCCAGCACATCCCGAAAGGTCATCAGCCCAGTTAGGAGATCTTACTTCTGTAGGTATGCGGTCGGTGATCCTGTGGGAGCTAATCCAGCAATTTGCTGATGGATGCAAAACTCCTTCCAAATTCCGGGTGGCAATGGCTCCGCCGTGCCATTTGCACTCTTCTGCAGACTGACAGCAGGTTCGTTCCAACCTGCCAGTGAAATACCGTCCCTGGCTCAGGGAATTGGTCTCTTCAGCAAGTGCAGAAATCGGGAGGCCTCTTGATCTGTAGAGATTTCTCGCATGGAAGAGGGTGAGTGAATTGGCTGCCATTAGCTCCCATGAACCTTTTTGAATTGCTGCCACTTTCACCTGTTGTGTAGCTATACTTTGCACGTTTTCTGGCTACTTGCCGAAAGGGTTACTTGGGACCATTAAGGGCCGGGCCGGGCCAGGCCATTCATCCATCCATCCATCCCCCCACAGCATGGCTACATTTGACCCACACTGCTTATCAGCCTATACAGCCGGGGTTCTTACAGGGCTGGGGCACATGGGCTGCTTCCCATCACAAGCAGCAGGAACTCTCTTCCCTTCTCCCTTCTCACCCACAAACTTTGACAGCATCTTAGCACACCAAGTGAGTACCAAGAAGTTGGTTGCATTTCCTAGAGTGAAAGAAACCCACATGGAGGAAATATCTGTATTCCTGGAAGTCACACGTGTTTTGGTGGCAACCTGCCTGAGATCACTGGCCCATTGTACCATATCCTGGTGGAAAAGCACCTGCTTTGCCTGCAGTTGTCCCAGGTCCCATTCCGATGTCTCCAGGTGAAGCTGGGGCTGACCTCGGCTGAAGCCCTGAGGGTCTGCTGTCGGTGCATGTAGACCAGGCTAGATGGGCCTGTGGCTGGACTTGGTGGAAGACGGCTTCCGAAGGCATCTTTGTGGGTATGCTAACCATGTCAGACATCGTTTCTTCCATGTTACTTTGACTCTGGAAAAGTTGAGGCTGCAGAGCCATTACCAGAAATTGCACAGGCCTGCTGAGGTTTTCCCACTGACTGCATATGAAAGGACGCGTGTCTTATGCAGTCCTCTTCCATCCTTCTGTCCTCGGGTGTATAGTATCTCCAATATTGTTTCCTCTAGTACCATCTCTAGAAACTTTTTTCTGGAGCACAGCTGGACCCATATTCAAAGTGGTCCTTCCTAGCTCAGCATCAGAAGTTCTCAGGAATGTAGGATGGCTGCTCTCCATCCCTCACCTTCTCCATTCCTTGCTGTTCCCTCTCCACACCACACAGTTGGCTTTCTACTCTAATCCTTTGCCAGGCTTAGTGTTTTCAGGCCCTGCATTTTCCCGACCTGAGTATAGCGTGAAGATAGGCTTCAAGACCTGTACTTCTTGCTTGAGTGCTGAATGTTACGGGATAAAATTCTAAACTCCCGTGGTTTAGGAGATTTCTGTTCATCCTGTATCTGAAGCCAACAAATGCCTCAGGAGACACAAGACATTATATTAGAAAGATTAACTTGCACAATTTTATGAAAACCTAGGAAAGGATCATATTGACTGTACAATTCTGTTTCTCCCCAAACACTTCCCTGGTGTTTGTCCTTTAATAATCGTAAACATTTTTCTCATTGCAAGTCAGCACAGGCAATTTGATGGGAAGCGCCAGATTGTTGACATGGATTTAATTTGTAGAAAATCTACACTTTATTGCAACTTAGGAAGAGAGCCAGACCTCTTAATCCACAAATGGCTGAAGCAAAGAGCAGCTGACAGCAGTGGGCAAACACTTAAGTGAATATTTCTTGTGTTGGGTCCACGGTAGACCTTTTTCCCTTGGTTCTTCATTGCATCTTGTAGATAGTTAGGGCAAAATAAGAGAGGGCATTCAGATGCACATGATGAAACGAAACAGCTTTGTCTTCTCCGTTAGGGAACCCTGGTTGCCTGGCTGCTCATTCAACAGAAAGTCACAGAATGTCAAGGGAATAGACGTTAAATTGCACACCTGGAGATCTCTGCCCTTCTGCCTGGCATGTAAAGGGTGTACATAGGGTAAAAATCATTCACAGACGGTGGAATCCCCTATCTCACCTCCAGTTACGGCAAGCTTACAAGTGGTTCAGCTGTGGAGTGCTTTTTTCCAAAAGCTGTCCTCACAAAGCAAAATGCTATCAGGACTGGCCTGCCCTTTTTAAGCGTCATCTGGAAATTAACTGTTCAGTTTCGATGGGAAATTGCATTATCTGGACCTGGTGTTGTCTTGAAAAGTTGTTTTGAGGCAGTTTACTGTTAGGCGATGCTAGGAGTAATTGGAACTTTTTGATCTAGTCACTTTGCTTATGTCCATCCATCATGTGTTTGAGAATGAAATCCTTCTAGATAAGAGAACAACAATCTCTTCTCTTGCTCCTGGGGTGGGTGGGTCAGTAACATCTTTTCTGTGCCAGCCTTAATTTGCTAGATGCAGCTTCTCAGAATTGTTTGCCAAACCCAAGTCATTGGTGAACAGACTCCTAAAGCCTCTCCTTTGAAAATCAGGCAACTAACAGTAGCATTCCCTGTGCAAGTGCCTTAATAAGAATAACCTCAAAACCTTTTCCATGGAGGATAGCAATTCTTCAGAAAGGGCCAGTAGTCTTTCCCAGACCGCGTACAGGGCTGTCCCTCTGTACCCACTCATTAGACCATTTTGGGTTTCTCCACAATGCATTAGTGTTTACACTGAGACAGTTTTCTAGAATGTCCTGACCTGTACAATCCTATATTTCAGTTACTCATATCAGGGGGCTGTTTCTTGTAGTGGTGAACTTCCTGCTTTGCGGTATTTATTTATTTATTTATTTTTCGATTTATATCCTGCCTTTTTCCTACAAAGGGCTCAAGGCAGCTTACATCTCCTCTGCCATCTTATCCCCACAACAACAACCCTGTGAGGTAGGTTGGGCTGAGAGTCTGGGGTCATTCTGTCCTGCTTCCAGATAAAAGCTCACCTTCCCTGCCATCACGAAGGAGAACTGGGATGTATCAGGTCAATACACTGCAATCTCCATACATGTACGTTGACGTTGCGTTTGCTTGTGGTATGTGAGTGTGCAGGGTACTTGCACATCGTTTCAAAACATTTTAATCTTTTTTAATGAAATAATTCTTGAGGCCTCTAACAACTATAATTAAAGCAACAATAAAAACAGCATAGTAGCTGCTCCTTCCAGAGAAGCTAAATGCTAATCTAAAAACAATTAAGTGTAGAAAGCGAAAAGTACACACAGGCTGTATTTGGACATAGCACTAAACCATATATTTGGTCCTGCATGAATCAGTCTCTGCTTCCCCAGCTGTCTGGGAGCATCTGATTGCATTTTAAACCAAATGCAGTTTGTCATTTCATCCAAAGTGGGGCACACTGTGGTTAGTTAAAACTGGTTTCTCTAAACAAGCCATAATCACATAATGTTTTCCGATCCTGGCTTGTTCAGATGAGCTGCATTTAAAACTCCAGTCCTCAGTTTGGGCAATTCAGCCAAGAGTAGGCATATGTACTGAATGCTTATCTTTATAGCCAAACCCAGACACATACAGGCAGTCGAGTGCATCTTCATTACAACTGAGTCATTCCCAACCTGGTGCTCTCCGTATGATTTGGACTACAGTTCCCTGAAATCCTGGTGCTGATGGAAGTTGGATTCCAAAATATCTGGTTGATCCAGCTAGTGCTCATGATGATGTTTTAGGATCATGTCCACAGAGTGTTGTCAACCTTGCGGATAACATGAATTAGGACCCATTTCAACAGAAGGAGAACACTTGTAGGATTTTTATGTAAGAAACATAAAGAGCTGTACCATCCATCTGTGCTACATTGTTCTTCCATTCCTCTCCAGCACTCCAAATGTTAGCTCTTGGACCCTTCCACCTTTCCAGGCAAACAGAGTGACAATTGTATCCTTTGGTGGTTGGTTGATCAGTTGGAGTTTTCTGTAGGCCATGAAGATATGATTAGGAAAGAGTGAAAATCCCATTAATAACTAGTTGTCCTGAGCTGAACCTAGAATTAGCTGCTTTAAAAAAAAGCGGGGGGGGGGTCAGAACTCTTCTTCAAAATGCAGTTGTTCATTAAGTTTGGAATTAGCCTGTGTAGCTTGCACTCCTGATTTTTTTCACACAGTTAACCCTGGGTGATCTGGTTGTCCTGTACCATCTTTTGTGTAGCAGTGGCACAGATGCTGTTGTTCACTCCAGAGTTGAGTTCAAATCTCAGTCCAAAGTGTTTCCTGGAGAATTGACTTTAGAATTCTTAGGTGGATCAATCTCAGCTGCAAATAATATACAGGGGAGCCAACGCAGGACAAGAATGTGAGCAAGGCCAGGTGCATTCTATTATATTTGCACCGTGTCTGCTTTTTAAAAAAGAAAAATTGTTCTTTGTCTTGACGGACAATTCCCAAGACTCCAAGAGCACACCAGCCACCTCCCCACTGATGCCAGATGTTTCGATTGCCTTATTTAGATGCAGCCTGCAACCAATTCCAACACCATGGGAACCCATTATCCATAAGCATACGGCCTACTCCATGGCAGTATTTCTCCATGCAGACTTATCCTCAGAGATGGTCAGGAGGGATGGTAAGGAGAAGAGAAGCACTGTGTTTGAAGCCAGGGGAAGCAGGTTGTTGCGTGGCCCCACTAACCCGGGTCACATCTAGCAGGCCAGGAATTATGCCCAAACCCTGGAGAGCACCCCGAAAGGGTGCATTCTTCAAGGTCCTGTGTCTTTTTCTGCAGTCTCACACTCTTGCCAGCTCAGGGGCAGGAGAAGTAGCAAGGGAAGCCTCCTCAAGCACAGGCATCAATGGGAAACCCACATCCCCCGGTGAAGAGTGCGTGGAAGAGAAGCTCAAGAACTCCCCCAGATAGACCTGGCCCTGCTCATGGGGGCTGGCCTTTCGCAAGACTCTCCCTCCTGCAGCACTGGTCTCCAGCTGCCCTCCATCTAGGCAGCCTTGGAGAAGCCTTCACCTTTTTGTGTAGCTGTAACACGTGTGTTTTTGACTCTCTGCCAGTTTACCCATTATAACTGTCACCAGCACCTGAAGGCTGGAAACGTGACTTCCTGGATCAATGTTCAGAGGTGTTAAAAAAATGTTCTCACCAGAAACTTTATCTCAAATGGAAGGCCTTGTACCTTCCAGCTTCATCAAGGATAGATGGCTTTCGAGTTAGCTCACAGGAGAGAAGAGTCTTTTTTACTAGGAACTGGCAGAAGTTCCTTGAGTTATACAGAGGAAAGAAGGTATTGTGTTTTTTAAGAGTTCAGCGGTCCCTAAGGACACAGAAGATGGCCAGTGTTCCAAAGTCTTTAGCACATGATGGCATGCCAGTATCCAGATGGTTTATGCTTACTGCATGTCTCTTGCCTAGCTCCACAAAACTCTGACCTCATTCAGTGCCTCCAGTTGCTGGACCGTTTGGATGTCCTCCAAGCCACTTGAGACTGAAATGAATGGTTTGCCATGGGAAGGACTCTGGGGATTTCTTGCTTAGCCTTTCAGCACTGGGTTTCCAGAGCCACTGAATTCCTCCAAGCTGGCTGGCCACTTGCTGAACTAGTTTGCAGTCTTAGTTCTAGCGTTTTGGTAAGTCTCGACTGCTAATGCTGAGCAGATGTGTCGGATGTTGGGTGTAGCAATGCTTCGGTCACTTCTGACGAGAGGACTGGAGCAGATGCAGAGCTGTGCAGGAGACACAGAACCGCACTGGGCTTTTCATGGGATGCTCTCGTGGACGTTTTGCACTTCCCGGTTAGAAATAGGTTCCTTTCCCTTGTTTTTCACATCCAGAGAGGTTCAATTAATGTGCCCTTCTCAAAAAACACACACAAAAAGAGGAAACCAGAGCAGAAACTGAGAGCTTCCAAAAGCAAAGTAGTAATGTGGAACGGACTCCTCGGGGTTTCTATTCCAAACAGTCTTTGGTGTTTTGGGTTTTTTCCTTCATTTTTAATGCACTAATAAAGCTGCCCATTTCTTTCAGGTGGGCGTACATGGCATTAGAATAGAATTCATCAATGAAAAAGGATCAAAACGCACCGCCACCTACTTACCGGAGGTTGCAAAGGAGCAAGGTCATTGTTCCCACTTTATCTCATATGATCTGGTGAAGAATTTAAACATACCTAGGAACTTAAATGCAGTGTTTGACCTTGCACTGATGTCAGATGATGGAGCAATACTTTAATCGTAAGGGATGACTCTTCTTTAAATGCCACTTATGTAACCATAGAAAATAGGGCCCTTGCTATCAGAATGCTGTCATAAATTGCTGCGATTCAGAAATGTGCTACAATCGTCCAATTGATCCACAAACTGTAGCAGGTTGTTTGCATAGCCGTAGTAACCGAATGTGGCTTTGCCACACACGGTCAATACCAGCGATACGGGAAACTCTCTTGAACAAGCGATTTTTCATGACAGTTTCATTCACCCATTGTTGCAAGTTTCATTTCGTCCAACTGTCACTGTGGAATTTAATTCAGTGTGTACTTTGCCCTGGTGCTGTTTTATTGGAATAAGCAGGAGGAGCTAACATGATTGACTTCTATGAGCCTCTTCACACATGTTTTTAGGTGTGCTCCTAAAAAAAAAAAAACACAGATGCAAGGAAGTTCTTTGGAAATATATATCATGCAGGTCAGATAATGAGGGCTGGCTGAATTTGCCCTGCCAATCATACCTGGAGGCACAAACTCAAGTCTGCTGCTGTAAGATGCAAAATAGCCCCTTTGGCCCTTGGCCAGTGGCGTAAGAAGCCACCATAGACATGGAAAAAGACTGAGGTGACATACGGCCTGAACTTGCAGACAAAGTCTTGGGCCTTTCAGCTCATCATTTGGGAAAGCTTTGTGACCCTTGCAATTGCCTCGTACGAAATGAGGCTGTCAGCAGATCCTTGCCTGCTGTCCTTGTATCGAGCTGCTCTTTCACGTGTCGCTAGATACGGGTTTGCCATTTTTTAAAGAATACACAGGAGTGACCCTCAAGCAATTCCTTGGGGTGTGATAGAAGAGACCACTAAGGATAAAAATGAAAAAGCCCAATGCTTGCTCAGTTGGTGTCTTTATGTACCTTCTGCAAAGGTCTCTTGGGATACAGATTTGCTGGAGTTACAGGGTGTGGTGTGAAACATCCCATCTGTGCAGACTTACGAAACCACGTCACGGATGGTACACGGCTGTGCTGGGGAGGCCGCTTGGTTCCTTTCTGCAGGGCATTGATTTTCTGACTGTTGTTATTGACAAAATGTGAAGTTACATGTTTGCTGTCCACCATTTTCTAGTTGTGTAACATAGGTTTGACTTTCAGGACCATTGGAACGGGCTCTTTCCAAGCCACGATTGTTATCAGTTGGCCATGTGCAGTCCCAGCAAAACTGGGGAACAGAACGGTCCATTCAGTCCATTTGTCCTGCCCTCACCCCCTTTGCATCCTCACGATAACTCTGTGAGGTGGGTTCAGCTTGTAGGGCTGGGGACTTGCCCAAGGTCTCCCTGTAAACTTCACAGTGGATCAGGCCTTGAACTGGGGTCTTAGCCACTACACTCCAACGTTCCAGCTCAGCTTTCCCAGTGTTTTGGACTTCAGCTTCTCTTTGCTCCAGGCAGTGCGGTCAGGAGTCAGGAGTGCCACGAATTGTAGTCCAAACATGTTGAAGGGCACCAGGTTGGGCACAGCGGCTCTGACCGCTTCTCCTGGATCCTTCTCTACTGATTATTTCATTGCTGTCTTGCCTTCTGTGCCCCCTCACAAAGAACAAGGCAACCCATGTGGTCCTCACAACAACCTTGTTTGAGGCAGCTTGTGCTGAGTGAGGTCCGTGGCTGGCCCAAAGTCAGCCGATATGCTTCACACGGCCAAGTGGTGACTAAAACACGCTGCCCCCCACCTTGATTCCTGGTCCCACATTCTAACCACCACGACCTAGTAATTGGGAGCAGTTCGGTGCTAAGGTTTGAGATGCTGGCGTTTTTCGTCTCAGAGGCGCAACACCATCCAGGATTGCCCTTAAGCTGTTGTGAATACATTTACATGTATTCTTTGAGGAGAGTTATTCCCTCTGCACAATTGCTTGCTTTAAAAATGACATCCAGAAAGCAGAACTGTGCCCGCTGTCTAATTACACACCGAGGTACTCTCCTTCATAGGCAAAATAAGGCCAATTTCTTCTTGCCTGCCACCTGAGCAGGCCCGACCCTGGAAATCTAGCTAATTATTCCCAATGGTAATACCTTGCTATGCCGTCTTCAGTGTCTTGTTTTCTGACGCATTTTTTTCTGATGAATCTCAACAGGATGGGACCATATTCAGACCATAGATTCCTTATTAAGGAAAGGAGGCTACAAGGCTCCAATTACAAATGATTTCAGGAAAACAATAAAACTGACCAGGTAAGGAAGTGTTTTGCGACTTGGGTCTGATCTGTATTTCACATGTGGTCTGTTTTCCTGTTGACGGTACACCAGCCGCATTCTGCAGTGTATCCCAGGAGAAGGGCAGGAAAGGCTTGGGGGATGATAGAGCACCTATTATGGACGGTTCTTTGAGAGCGGCCTTTTCTTCTCAGGGTGTGTTGGCCGCGGCCATTCATTGGCTGTCATCGGACCCTCCTGGGATGCTTTCCACATGAGGATGGCGAGAAACTGCTTGGAGGACGGGGGCCCAGCACGTGTGCTGTGCGCCCGGCCTGTCCGGTCTGTTGCAATCTCCCAGAGCTGCACTGGGGTTATGCACCTTGTAGGCAAGCAGCGCTCCTGTGAGGGAAGGGGTAGTTCTTGCCACCTTTACGGGGCAAGAGAGGGGCCATTTGCAGGGAGAGCCCTTGATGGTGCAGTCAAGGACTTTCTGCCCAGGGTCAGGCTACCCGTTTGGAGCCAGGAGTTGGAGGTTCTGGCACACTCTCACATGCAAGTGGATGTGGGTCTGTGCCCATCTGTTTCCAGTCCTGGATTTGGGATGGAAAGAGCCGTGGATGTCTGTGCTGGGAAAGGCATGGCGGGATTCTCCCGGACCTCTTGGCAGCTTTCAGGACCTTCGGGCACCAACTTTCTGAAGCTCCTTGAGTAGACGAAGCTTGGGAGCCAGTGTCGTCCTTCCTGGAGGGCTGGTCCCAGAAGTGGGGCTGGAGGTTCTGCCCCAGGACCTTCAGCTCCTCCAGTGCTGCAGAGGTCCATCTTGTCCCCCATGGTTCGTAGCGTCTGCCTGAGACCGTTGGATCAAGCAGCCAATGCACAGGCTGACCTGTGTTTTCTACCTGCAAATTGCACTGAGTCCCTGGAGCTCTTGACATGATGCCCGGAGATGTTTTCGAACGAGACGAGCTAGACGAGACAGCAGGTGGTGTTGGTAGTGGTTGGCGGATTGCAGAAGGCTCTGGATGAGTTGCGACCACTGACGGGCACTCCAGGTCTCCGGGCTGTCTGTGTCGGGGGCCAGGAGCGCCTCTCTCCAGCTTAGGAAGGTACCATCTGTGACTTGCCCTGTGGAAAGCACTTCCGGCATCCGGCATGCATACACTACTCACCTCTGGATCACTATCCGTACGCTTTGTGTGGAGCTGCCTTTAAAGTTACCCACTGGTATACAACGTGGCCACTGATTCGGGCTCGGTGGGCAAAGCACATCACACCAATTTGTTCGCTGATGTGTTGCTGATCGGTACATTTCCAGCCCTAAGCGGGTTTTTGCCATTAAGCCCCAAACCAAGCATGAGTGATGCTGCCAATCCTGCTGCCCCCCCCACCCCAAATGCGCAGTCTTGCTGGGCTCTGTGGAGCACACCTGTGCATTAAAAGCTCCCCGGGCACCTTGCTTGAAATGGAAAAGTGGCTTTTTTCCTGCTAATCTTCCCAGTAGGCTGGCCGGCCTCTGTGATGGCTTCTAGGAGAGGGAAATTGGCGCCTGGGCTCTCCACAGCTACTTACCTGTGCCCTAAACGATTTGGGGCCAGGTGAGCATGTCGTGAGCAGAGCCAGCTGGAGCCGGGGGTCATACTAGATGGCCCGGGAGACCCCTTCTGATTCACTCTGTTTCTATGTTTCAATTTGAAGGGCCCCAGGAAATTGGCTGTGTATTAACACCAGCCTCTGAGCCCCCATTCTTACACTCACATTTACGAACAATCCCATTGGTGGGATGGTACCAGACCACAGTCTCTCCAGGGGATGTGCAGGTGACCCTGTCAGTTGCAGCGGCTTAAGAGGCTTTGAAAACCCACCTGTTTCAAAGGTCTTCCAAAGCGTGGTACGGTCCGTGTTACTGCAGCACTCCGAAGAGGAGGTCACTAGCATCCCCTGAAGGCCAGGGACAACCATTGCCTCCATCTCCAGAGCACTCAAGACTGCCAGTTTCAGCCGCCCAAGTGCCAAGGGAAGGCGGTTGGGGCACTGACCAGGGTGCCTGCCGGCTCTCTCCCCCTACCCAGCAAAGCCCGCAAAACTCTTCCCCAGACAACCTCAGAGAAGTAGCCACGACGGCTGCTTGCAGTGTCTTGAGGGAAGCCTTGCAGTAGTTCCTGAGGCTGGACCCAAGTTGCGGCGTCATCCCATGGCCATCTGGCCAGTGTCCAGCAGCCAAAGGACTGGGCTGCTGATTGAGGTCTTGTGTTGCAGCTTCATTGCTGAATCTTTCTCTGGGAGAGCCTTATATACCAGTTATTTAACTCCTTTCCTTTTTCCTTTTCCACTTTTTGTCTTTTTGCTCGGCAAAGTTTTATTATGTATGCATTTTTATTTCTGTGCGTGCATTCTGTTTTCTCCTTTGGTTGGACTTGGTCCAGAAGGGCAGCTGTCTGGCAGACAGGGAGTTCCTGGGCCTAGAATGTGGAGTCTTCAGCCTCAGGAAAAGGATGATGCTCTCTTAACAGAGGGCGGCAGGAGAGGCCCACGGCCCACTGGTTCTTCATCAGCAGGCCAAGACAAGACAGCCAGGTGCTGGGGCAGTTAAGAGCCAGAGCAAATGTGATGCTGAATGCCTGAAGTTAACATCCCAAGCAGGGCCAAGACTCATAGGAGCCTTGGAAGCCTGCAGCTTTCTCCTGCCAAAAATCACCCCGGGGAACTGCATTTCTTAACAGCGACCACGAATTAAATGCATTTGTGCTCAGTGGCAGGGCTGTTTTGGCCTTCCACTAGCAGCCGCATGGGCCAAGCGCTCAGCACCATCATCCTGGCCTCCTCTGAGGCTGAACTGAGTAGGGCTACAGCCCCCCGGCCCTGGGAAGTTCTCTGCATATTTGACTGCTCTTCCAGTCCCTTCTTGTTATGCGTTTCCTATCTGGGGACTTCCTTCTCACTCCATCACAGTGCTGGGCTCCGTCCAGCAGCCAGCACTTAAAATCAGGCAAGGGTACTTAGGCTGCAGCTTCCCCATCCTTTGCAAACCAGAAAAGTGAGGAAATCTGCTGGCCGCACACTGCAGCTCTCGTCTGTCAGTAGCCTGTTTTGCTTTTAAGGGAGCCAAAACAGCAGAGTACCACCACCATTTTCCTTTTTTTCTTGAATGGCTGCTGCAAGTATTGGAGGCCTCTTCCCATGGTGGAAAAGCCCCAACGTGTAAAGGCAATCCTGGGAGTGTTCCATCTCCTGGAGGGAAAGAAACGTGCATTGCCTGTGCAGGGCACGAGCTGGGGTGACTGCCTGCCATTTGATCTCCTGTTGCTCTCTTCCTCCTGGCTCTCAGGATAGTCCCACTGTTCTTCCTTGCTTGCCATAAATACCACATCCAAAGCGCTGCCAAGGCATTGGGAACATGCGATTGTAGCCACGTTTGCTAGCAGCCGCTTACTTGAGCATCAAGTGTTGGGGAACCCTTAGAGCTGCCCATGCAGAGGTCAGAGGACCTGGAATACAGCCTGGCCTGGGACTCCTGGGTCCTTGGCTCTGCCACCGCTGGGGATTCCTCTCCGTGCTCGCTGGTATTTACTGGCTTGCACATGGCCTGCAGGTGCCTTCACCTTCACCTTGGCCTTTTTGTGACAATTGGTCTCAACAAGTTTGATGGACTTAAGGAGCTGTTATTAGGCTTTGGTGACATGAATCTGGGTGCGGGTTTTTGTAGAGCCCGTGGTAGCTCCATCCTCCTACTCTTTAGATTACATTTTGGGAACAAAACATGCAGAAGTTTCTAGTACTTGGTAGGGAAGTTGCTGCAGTCCAGTGGCCATCCTAAAGGTTGCAGGGACCAAAGGGACATTTTGTGGTGTCATTGGCAGCTATTCATAGATCATCCTTCCCCAACCTTGTGCTCTCCAGAAGCTTGGGGCTACAGCTGCTTGCATCCCTCTCATGCTGAGTGGAGTGGTCCAAAACATCTGGAAGGCACCAGGTCGGGGAAAGTGTCATAAACCACGAAAAAGGTGTAAAATTCAGGTCAGTGTGGCAACTGCTGTTGTACATCTGTTTTTAGGAAATTCTCTGTTTTGGAATCAGAGGGTCTTTCCTCTTAGCCTCTCTACCCACAGAAGGAGGCCTCATTGTAACCACTCATAATCTGGTTTGGATACAACTAGAAATTCGGGTCAATTTAAAAGGTTCCAACCCCGGGCAGCTGCGGTGTGGGGGGGGGGGGCAGGTGCGGGTGCTACTGCCTGGACATGGGTGCTTAATAACAGTTTGGTGCTCGGCCTGAAATAAGCCAAATTCTTACTCCTCGGGTGAAATGAGCCGCACCCGCAAGGCATTGGACCAGCTGCCACACCTTAAGGTTCAGAGGGGAACCAGGGATTCCTTTGGAAATCTGGAGCAGGGAACACCCCACACTCTTCCCGCCAGTGCAGGAGGTCCCTCTTCCAGACCTTCCTGGGGAATTGCCTCACCGGTGCGTGCTTGGCTGTAAGTCGCTCATTCTTTCAGAAGTAAAAATGCAGCTGCACGGTGCCAGATCTGCCGTGGCCGAAACCAGAGCTGATCTAATTTACCACTGCCTCCATGGTCATCAAAGATTTGTTTCACATTTTGTGTTGCTGTTTTATAAATCACAGCAATGACAATAATAAAAGACTGTGTTTCTGCTCCTTTGGGACAAACCATCTTGAGATAGCCTACAACGAATGCTGAGAACAAAGCAGTCGCAAAAAAATCAGTGCTGGATGCAGTCTATCCAAAAGCAGCTTGGCAGAATTTTTTTAACGGGGTCTTTAGGGACTGCTTAAAAGCCACAAGGTGGCAGGGCAGGCTGAGAGTTCTCAGGCTGGAATTCCCCCGGCGAGAGGCCTTCCTCTTGTCACATCTTGCCTGTCGTGTCATAAAGGAATTCGTTGTGCAGGTCTAATCTCCGCCTCTTGCAATTAATTGGTAAAGCCCAGATCACACCCACGTGAGTTCATCCTCCAGCCCTAATGATCAACTATGGAAATCAGCAATGGAAAGCCGGCATCACCTTGATTTGTGAAGAGGTGTTTCTTTGGAGGGCTTCTTCATGCGAATGCATTTCCTCTTCCCTGTGTATAAGAATGAGGGGCTGCCATGTGGCCAGCAACGACCCCCATGGTGTCCACGGAGCATCTGCACGTGAGGGGCGCAACACTTCCCGGGTGGAGCAGGCTTGGCAAGCCAGCCCACCCCCAAACCTGTCCTCATGGGGGTCTTCCTTGCAGAAAGGGCAGCTGAAAACACCCTGCAGGCTGCCGCATGCATCCGTTGGAGTTCTCTCCCCCGGGGGCACCGGAAGGGTGACAGTCAGAAGCCTGGAGATGCAGAGGAGCCGGTCTTGGGCGTCAAAGTGTTTCTGTCATGCTGGCTTGTGTTTGCTTTACTCCAGTGCGTTGCTTGTCTTGGGAAAGTCAGAACGAACATCTGCTGCTTTGCTTTGAGCCCCTCTCTGCTCTCGCTTTCCCCTCAGGTACCGTAGTGAGAAGATGACGATGAGCTACGCGGAATACGTCGCCCACCGTCAGCACCCTTTCCAGAATGGCATCGGACACACCCTCCCACCGTACAACCATTATTCCTGACACTGCGCTGCATGACCAGCCCCTGGACCTCCCTGCGGACCTCTTCCCTGGAGACCACACACCCTCCTGGTCTAGCTATCTCTACTACTGTACCATTTTATGATGATAGTTTCCGTTGCCATGATGACGCTTCTCCGCGACAGGTCAAGTTCACCATGGCAACGGGTGGAAACGCTGCATCATCACAAAGACCCCCTTTAACTCTCTTTTTTAAAACCCTTCTTCCTGGGGTTGTTGGGTATGGTTTTTGTTTCCCCTTGTTTGTTCGTTTTTGGAAACGTACAGAGCACTCGGGATTTTTTTTGTACCGTTTTAAATTTCTACTTCGTTAACACTGATACAATTCAATCAAGGTTTTCTGTGGGACTGTGGATGGAAGGAACGAATATAATGCTAGAGGATTTAAACGAGAGGACGAAGAAGGATTGGCTGCTCCAAAAAAGAATAAAAACACATATCAGATTTAGGGCAGAAGCTCCATGACGAAGGAGGTGGCTTGTGGCGCTAGCCAGCTGTTCCCAGCGGTTCCTTGTTCTTCGTGCAGTTCATACATGATTCTCAGACCCTATTCCATTAGGCCCAAGAGGAGCAGTGATGATAAGGCAAATTGTTTGATTAGGAATAAAAAGAAGCCATGATTTTATGGCCGGAGAGAGACAGGAATCACAGGGGGGCTTATTGCGCATCCCGGCTAGATCCTAGCTCTGTTGACTTCGGCAGAACGTTCCCCATTGGAATGACTGGAGCTAAAATCTCATCCAGTTTCTCTCAACCGGGAGGAGGATGCATTGCCTTTGTCCGTATGGGACGGAACAGTGATGTGTCCCCTCTCAAGGTTAGGGTGCAGATGGTGGGCAGCAGCCCCCAAACTGTTGTGCCAGCGACCTTCAGGTGTCCCAGCAGGACTCGCGAGGGCCAACACCCCCCCAGGCTTCCAAGAGAGGCGCTGCTTTTGCAGCCAAGACGATCGGCAGGCAGCTGCGGTTGCATTTAGAAGTCAGTGGATTTCAGTAGTGGTGCCTTTGACTTGGATGGAAGTTACATAGAAGCAGTGGGGCTGGCGGGCCGGGGGGAGCATGGGGGGAGAACCCATAGAAAAGATGGCTATGCAAAACTGCAGTCTGTACTGAAGCCTCCTGAGGAATGGGATTCTGTGGGAAGCAGAAGTTCACCTTCCTTTCTCTCCCCATCGCGTTACCTGCATTACCCTTCGTTTGCTCCTGTTTTCAGGAACAGTGCAGGGAGGCCTGTGAAAAAACGTTTTTGGGTTGCGAGTGTCAGTGCAGCGACATTGACCGGCACCCTGCCCTGGAGTGGAAGCGGGGGACAGTTACAGTCCTGTTCAGACACCCGTGACGTCTCTGGTGACAGGTGGGAGACACAGAGGAGGGCGTTCTTGTAGCTCGAGGCTCTTACTTTGGGCCTTGCCTTGCTTGGGACACACAGGGAAGTTCTCAAGAACTTCGACGGTCACGTGCGGCCTCCACGGAATGAGCAGAACCTGGCCTGCACCACATAAAACCTCCTTCGTTCTGGATGAGCCCGACTGGGTTTAGGCAGAAATCCTCGCCTGTTTCACACAGCAGGGGTGGCGTTGGTAGCCATGCAGGTCCATGCATGGAAGAGAAATTTATGGCAAGCAGCTAGTGGAGAATCCTCAAATGTTACTCCCAAGAGGTAGTTGGATGCACTGTTAAGAACAGGGAGGCACGCAGAGCTGGTCATTCCTTCATCCACAGCATCTGATGTCCAAATATTAACTTTCTGTTTTGATGCCTTAATTTTAAGTGAGCAGAAGGCCTGAATAGACAAATAGCCAGTGGGGACCGTCTGGCAGACACCGCGGCCCCGGAAAAGGACTCGCCATTGCTTCCATGGAAGTGGTCTGGCATGGGGGTTTTTTTCCATTCGGAGATTTGGAAAGCGGATTCACCTTGAAGTGGAAGTTGTCATCCAGTGGCTCTCTGATTGCAACTTTTCATTTTTGCCCTTGAAAGGGAAACTTGAGCACAAGCTGAAAAACTCTTCTCTGCTGCAAACATTTGAAAAATCAGCCATGCCCACCTGTTCCCATCTTTCTTCATTATCTCATTACAGCTCATGCTTGTGGGTGAGCTCATTGTTAGACTTTTTTAAAGAAGATCTATTATATATATAAATATATGTGTATTTAAAGGTGCTAATCAACCTTGAGCAGGTCACGTGACTGGTCATGCGGACTCTAAAATCATATCAGATTTTTTTAGGAAAAAAAAATCCTCAATATATGCAGATGTTATACAGAATTTCTTACCAGTGTAATAATGATATACTGATTTAAATAAAATATCCTGCAGGGTTCGAAGGACAAGGTCAGCAATACTTCCCACCATGGCTTGTGGGAGGAAAAAAAGGATCGTTTTGTCTCCTTTTTTGTACACAGCATAATGCACAATGCGTTTTTGTCTATCTCTCAGTAGCTGTTGCTTGGGGAATAAAACACAGAAGCTGTTCAAAGGGTTCTGCAAACTGGAAAGGTATGCTTTAAAAAATGAAAAACCCTCCAGACCCTTTGAACCAGTCTTGCGGCCGTACGTTCCTTTATGGGGAGCTCTTAACTGGTACGTTGCAGGACACAAATTTTGGGCCAAAGCTTCAGCAGTCTTGTTTTTACATGCAGGAGCCTCCGTTTCTCAGTGGCGCTTTTGTCCTGTTGGCTTCCGGAGAGCATGGAAGTGCTGCAGTTGAAGTACAAAGCATGGTGTGCTTCGCAGGACCATTAATAGGCATGTTCGTCTAAAACCGATCAAGAAAGCGAGGCTTGAGATAGGTTTTGCGGTTTGCTCCGAAATATGCAAATTCCAGCTGAAGCCTTTTTGTTACCCATTTGAAATCCAAGCCGACGCTCATCATCCTCTTACTGACCGCTGAGCTGGGGGCAAGCGCCGATCGTGGGGTTTTGTTTTGCCTTATTTCGTGACAAAAGGCGCTTCAGTTATAGCTTTAACGTTTTTGTTTCCTTCGCCCGAGCGGGAAGGGCGGTTAACGAACGCGTCTCTCCGGCCACGCTCGAGAGAGGGTGTTCCCGAGACTCACGCACACAGGCCCGGGGCCTGCAGAATGTGGGTGGTGTCGGGCCGTCTTCCCACCGGGCCCCTGCGGGGTTTGAAAGGGAGGAGGGGTCCGCACCAGCCACACGCTGTCAGCCGGGAAGCGTTAGGCCCCCTTCCCTGTTTCGTAGCTCAACTTCTTCACATGTCTTGAACTGAGCAGGTTCTTGAAACTGCCTGGAGTAGATCGCGTCTCATGTGTTGGATCGAACCAAAGACTCCTCCAGCCAAGCCTATTTATGCTGCTCCTAAAATCCCTGCCTTCCAGTCCTTCCAAAGTCTCTGCAGGATGAAATGGGTTAACTTTTTTATTTTTGTACAGTTTCTAACTGATTTTTGCTAGTGATGTTAATTGAATTAAGTTTTGAGGAGCCTACACAACTCCTCCATTGAAATAAACTGGTGACTTTTATGTTTAAATAAAATATAGAAACCCAAAGTGTGCCTCTCAGATTTTAAGGGTTTCTGGTTACATTTATTAAGACCAGCAATGATTCTTTATATACAAAGATATGTTTTCCTTGTTTTTTATTACTGTTTCAGAAGAAAAAAAATACTTCCTTTTGCTCTGGATCCAGTAACTGCACTGGTTCATAAATGCACTGAGAAAAAAAAAAACTTTTGTAACAACTTATGACTGTTTTGTATATCAAAGTTGATTCTTTTCAAAAGATTTGGATCTAGTTTCTAAGTTATTTTAGTGTTTTATATGTTACAAGAATTAAATGTTCACCAGCATAATTAGTTATCTTCAATGCAAAAGGTGACACAGAAATGGGCAATGGAGCTGCCTGGCGTAAGCTTCAAGGCCCCTATTTTTCCTTCCTTAGTAACTTGACTATTGATTACAATATTATCACAGATTACCACAAACCTCCTTCCATTAAAACTAGATCCTTCTTCCTTCCATGTTTATTTGCAATTAGTGTGAAGAACTGTTGATAAAATGGGCATTTTATAAGTATGGCTTAAAGGTAAAAATGAGGAAAAAGCAACAAAAAAATCTAGAAGGTAATTTGTGGGTCTGTGAGATATGGCTGTGGAAAGATATTGTAGTAGTTTTAACACTATTGTTATTACCTTTTAAATCATTTACCCAATAAAATAAGGAAAAAAATCACAGCTGCTTGTACGTAATGCTTTTCCTTAAGTGTTTGGCCCGATACGGTTCAACCATCATCAACTGCAGGATGCAGAGATCCAAAAACGTCCAAGAAAATGTCCTCACTTCACAAGAAAGTAAGAACAGCTAAGGTGAATTCTTGCTGACATTAGTAAACACATTCTAGCTTTTCCATATACCTTACTACCATTTGGAACTTAAAGCAAGGATTTAACCTTGGAAGGAGAAATAAGCATTTCTTACGAGAAATTGCGCAGGCACTTTTCACTTGACCATTGAGGCAAAGACCTACGTTATTACTGCAGATGGAAATTGTAAGCACCTTCAGCATAAGCATCTGTATAGCCTGAAGTGCCTGATTCCGCCTTATCTTGGAAGCTAAGCAATGTCGGGCCTGGCTGAAATCTGGAAGGGAGACTTAAATGTGGACTGCCCAGAATGCTCTGGCTATGGGAGGTATTGAAATATAATGAATACTATTATCTGCAACATATAAACTAACTCTACTTTGTGTTTCTCTGTTGTACGGAAATGTAATCCTGAAGCGTAAGATTCTAGATAGGAAAATGCAAGCGTGTGCTATTTAAATCTTTTTTTAATCCAGGGAGCTGCTGTCAGGGAAATTTGTTCAACCTCCCAGCTCAGGGCTGTGCTCAACCCTCTGGGAGCTACTTGCCCAAGGGGGGTGTGCCCAAAGCCATAAGTGAATGGGACCGCCCCGCCCCCCACTTCTCTCCATCCTGCTTTAGCTCTATGACAAGAGAGACTAGGAACAATCCAAGGCAGGAAGCAGATGTGGAAATGGGACAGCCAGCGGGAAAGAACCTGTGAACAGGAGAGTGAACGGTGCACGATTCTTTGCTCCTGGCATGGGTACAATCCAACAGCAATGCGGGTATCTATTGGTAATGCCATTGGCTTTTCCAATGAAGTCCTGTGGATACAAGAATGATCTTGCGGACTGATAAGACATAGCCAGATGCTGCAGAGTCACCACATTCAGCTCCTCCAGCATCTCCGATTACCCCATATAAATCTCCGAAGATCTTTTGTTGCCAAGGGATAGCGGCTGAATCCATCCCACAGCAAATAAGAATGGCAAGGATCACAAGGGCTCGATTACAATAGCTGCTCCTGGTGGTGCCGCTGAGGCTTCTGGTCCTTGTGGCAGAGCGGCCAATGGGAGAAGCCCTTTGCCACCTCTTCCAACACAGAGACGTTCTGTGTCATAGTTGGGAAAAGACGACTTGAACATTGGCAGGATCCCAAGGACACCCTGAAATGATTCGGCTAGCCATCACGTGTGTTCCAAACCTCCCCCCGCAGCAGAATTAGCACAAAGCCATTAAGAATTATGCAAATTGATGCAAGAACGTTTATTCTTTGAAATAAATTCCTCCAAGAGCATGATTTTATTTTGAGATGACAGAAAAGACAACAGAAAATAAACGCCAGAACAAATGGTGAATCCTAGTCTATATTTTTGTTGTTGTTGGAAAATGTCACCTGTTGGCTTTTTCACCATATTAAAAAGTAGTAATTTATAAAATTATCCTACAAATAACTGGGAGCTGTGGGAGGGCAGGTATGGCTGCGGCCAGTGTCGAAAAGAGAAAGGGGCATACGCAACGATTGCTGCTGGTCTCAGCCAGGGGGTTGTGGGTGCTCCACTCCAGAGATTCCACTGAAGAAATACAAAGGATAAAAGGGAAATTCAGTTTGGACCTGGAACAGGAAAAAACAGGGTGACACCCACCAGATTCCAAACAATGGGCTGAAATACGCCACAGGGAAAGACACAGCAGCTTCAGATCGGTTGCAGTTGTGCACGTGAACCTCGCGTTCCATTTTCAAGATCCAGATTTTTCTGTTCTGAACGTTCACCTAAATGGCAGGCGTGGCTTAGTAATGCCCCAAACCCTTGAGAGCTCTCTGAAGAGCATGGTTGTGCCAAGTTCTGCTCAGCTCCTGCTTTTACGAAACAGAACCTAAAATGCCCAAAGAATTCCTCTATTGTAGGAAAAGATAAACGTCGTGCAATCAAAGTTGCTTCACCCCACTCCAACTGGAAAAAGAAAAACAACAAATATACAGGAACTCGGCATGTTTGCACATACACCCAACCGGCACTCAAAATCAAGTTCATAATTAAATTACAAAAAGCTGGTTCTGAGAGAGCAACATGAATAGGCCTTTAAAAACCACTGGATTATCAAATATATGGAAATATATCAAAACCCTGAAGGCGGCAACAGGAAATGCAAACTCCAAACGTCAAAATGCACAATCAGCACAACACACTGGAGCCTTCCCTCTTCTGCTTTTCCAATCAGCCACAGCAGCTAAGCAGAACCATGCTCCACAGCAGCCACAGGAGAAGAACTGCCATGGACTGGAATGTGAGCAGACCTGGCCAGAAAGATGAGACAAGCAGCTACGGGCGTGAGAAAGCCATGCACAAACAGCCCACGATGTGGCAGCCACATCAAGTCAGCCACCTAACATCCCAGGGTCTCCACGGACGTTTGAGAGACGACACGACAGACACTCCAGGCTGCAAGAGACGATGGCACCGTCTCAACCCTGCGTCTGGTGCTCTGAGCACCAGGTAATGATGTGCTTTTCCTCTGAGCAGACACTTCATGGCAAAGAAATCGGCATCACGAACTAGCCAGGACAACACGTGGTCCTTGGACTGGGGGCAAGGGGAGAGGTGGAAGACCCTTGATGAAGGCTGCAACCCCCCAGCACCACCCCACTTTAGCTAATTCACGCACCTTGGCAGCCTTTGAGAACACGGGGATGCTAGCAGACTTCCCTGCACTGGCAACCACCCACCGGGATACTTCCCGTGCTCTCTGTTCGTATTTCACAAAGGAAAGATCTTCCTAGCAAAGGATGAGTTTCTTTTTTTAAAAAAATAAGGCTGCAAATTAGTCTTCTCCATTGGCACAGAACAGCACTCCAGCCTAGTTCCTAATGATTTCCAAAGCCTTGGAACCCACTGGCTCTTCGAAGTGCAGAAGGTAAATTGGCAATGCCATGTCCCTAAATAACTTGAACAAATGGGAAAGGGGAGCTTTGCAACACCCAGAGATGGGCATCCCAGGCTGCAAGCAGCCGGCCTGTGGCATACTTAGTAACACACCGAGCTGGGTTGGAAGAAGCCTTTGGCAGAAGAGCCATCTTTGCTGAACGAGGCTGCCGGCTTCCCCATGCAAGCTTGGCAGCTCTTTACCGAGAGGCAATTCCACCAAAACCCGAAGAAGCCTTTTCTTTCACAGTGCTTGCAGAGCCTGAAGCCCTCCAGAAGTGGGACTCTCACTCCCATGTGCCCCAGCTGGCATGGGTCAGGCATGGTGCGATCTGTAGCTCAACAATATCTGGGAGGGCCAGAGGTTTCCCACCCCAATTCTACAACAACCCTGCACTAATTTTGGCTCACAATCGAGTGCAGGGCAGGATTCTGCACACTGATGGAACAGGTCACACCACAAGGCCCTGCGGGTTGTGTGGCCAGGGATCCTCTCCAGACCATGATGAGCACACAGCCCCGCTCAGGGTCCCCGTGAAACGCCTGCTGCCGGCACTGTGGAACCTGAGGCAGGCCGTGTGAGCCCAGCGACTTGGAAATGCAAGGGATCTGCCTCAGAAGGAGAGAGGAGTCAGCCTGAGCAGCCCATTGGAAACTCCTCGGCCATCCCGCTCTTCAAAAGCAAATCTAGTGACTGCATTTCTGTGAGATGCTCCAAAAACACCGACAGGAGGGAGAGGACGTGGCACTTCGTAAGGGTGGCAGATAACGCAGGAAGAGGATTCTGAACACCTGCTCCTGCGGCCGAGCAGCCTGAAAGCGTCTGCCCTCGTGAAGAACTGAGGGATGCTGACGGCACTCCTCGCAGTGGTTCTGCGCACAATCAAAACAGCAGCAAATATTACATCCCAAGGAAGGTGAGTGCACAGAAAAAAACCCATTTTATCAGTCAGCTTCACTTACAGACCCACATAAGAAACCTGCCGCACACCATTCCTTTAAAAATCAAAATCAAAATGAATAATAATACTTGTTGTTCAAAGCTTTGAGCTCTGATACTTTAGGTTTTTCAGTGCTGAATGCAAGGATATTTGCGTGGAAGGATTCCTGCATTACTGATGTGGAACTACATTTCTGCTATTTCACCAGGAATTTCACTGTCTTTATACTTCTGTTTAAATGGGCCACCCTGGGGTATAAAAGAGATTAAGTTTCACCGGATCAAATGCAAAGAGCAACCCTGTACAGAATGACTGATTCCAGCAGTTCCTTGTGTCCTCCAGTGCTCTGCCAAAACAAGAAAATAGGCATCAGAAACACGGAACACACACATCAGGACATCAGCGCTCCTCCGTGTGCATCTTTTGTTAAATTCGTGGCAGTAAAGAGAATTCACAGTAAAATGTATAGAAAAACCATCACCAGCTACAAATACACAGTCCAAAGAAAGGTTTACAAAGCCAAAGAACAGGATATTCTTCTATTTACGCCAATTTGCAACTAAATTCAAGTTTTGGTCAACGGGATTCCTCAGCTCTACAAAACGCAACCCCGCTGTCCTCCCTTGCGTGGGTGAACAGAGCTGGAACGCGGAGCTTAAGGCAAGATCTCTCTGGTTGAGGTAACCTATGGCTGCATGGTGCAGAAGACTTCCCCTTGGAGCGGTTCCCCTGGAGAAAGAATGGCAGCTGTTGCGTTGTGCATTGCACAAGTAAGGTAACACAACGGGAGGAACTGGGAGGGGCAAGAGGGAAGACAAGCGCCTCTCACTGCTACTACTGTCAAAAGTCCAGGAGATCATTCAGCAGTGCTCTTGGAGGTGAATGCCTCCCAGTGTCACCACTCTCCTCAAACTGGAGCAAGCACTGGGAAGTGACGCAACCCCATTCTGTTCCTCACCAGCTTCTCATTCCCTGCTGTCGTCAGCTTTTGCAACTCTGCTCAGCCAACCAGCCCAGCTGGATTCTCACAGGATTCATCAGTGCTGCTGAATATACAAAATAGTCAGGAGTGTGTGAGTTGCTATCAAGAACCGTCACCAGTCGTTTTTCTGCGGGGAGGTATAATTTGATCCAAGCTAAACAGATTGTGCCTCTTTAAGGATCATGGTTCTTCTTCATCCCTGCATCGTTATACACTGAGTGCAGCTTCACATTATTCACCAAGTAATTTAGAGGAACCATCCGGGTGCTGCTCATAAATACACCGGCACTGAGCATAACAGAAACACACTCGCTTGAAACGTCAGTCTCCAGCAAGTACGTTGTTGGTATTGTTTCCCATTGTCTCAAGCATCTTCAAGAGCAGAAATTTGCTAATTTGCACTGATCTTTAGGAAATGCCCAACATACAGCTGCCTGCAGGCCGAACGAACGCTTAGGAAATCGGCAGAAACACTATGCTCCGGATATTCAATGCCCACAGTGCAGAAGAGACTGCATCCAAGATGCTTTTCTCTGTCAATTATATTCCAAGACATGGAAAGTTTCTGAAGTTCTTCAAGCTTACATAGTCCACGATTCTGTAGTCATCAAAAGTAGGACAGTGCCCCTCTCTGTGGGTAAGGCCACAAGTTTTACTGTTGGCTGTGGGAAGTGGAAAATCAACAGAGAGGGAGGGAATACGAGGAAACATCTTACTTGGTAACAGAAGGAAGAAACAAGGAGCAGTTTGAGTGTTGTCCTTTCAGCATTGTTTTCTTTTCCCAATCCCATCTCCATCCCTTTTCCACTTCCTGCAAGGTACTTCCCTCCATGGAGCTGCCTCAGGATATTTTCTTAGCCGGGAGTGGAAACCAATCCACACAGAACTTAAAAACAGGGACAGTGTGATAGAAAATGGCAGTGATGAGCTTCCCGTGAACCATAGTCATGAGCGTCTGGTGGCCAGATGCCCAAATTCTATACCAGGGGCCGTAGAAAGGGTCCGAGATGGCCGGGCACAGCATATTGTTCAAGTTCACCTGTGTGGCCTGCAGTGAGGTGAGAAAAAGAGAGACCTGGTCACCATCTGTTTACAGAGCTCGCTTTGCAACCCAAGAAGTCCCTCTTGGACTTCAGCCTGAAAAGGTGCCAGAATTGCCAGAAAAGCTCCAACCAAGTAGCGTCTTGACTGTCCTGGGCAAGATCTGCCCACATTCTCTAATCTGGCCAATTCCCATTTCAACCTCTGGCCCCATGTTGACTCGCCTGCTCACACAACCCACAAATACAATAAAGGAGAGGCAGCTTGTCAGTTCCAGCTGTGCTTCCAAGCCAGGGACCAACTGGGAGCCGCTGCAGTCCAGCAGTAAGGATGCTGAACTGGGAGGACCCGGTTCCAGTTCGCACTCAGCCACAAAGCTCACTCGGTGACTTAGGGCCAGTCGCTGCCCTACCTTGCAGGGCTGTTGTAAATATAACACGAAGGGTGGTCATGTAGGCCAGCCACCTTGGAAATGGGGAGATGTCCCAAGAAATAAGCAAACGTGAACATTTACTCACCAGTCCCAGAATTTGTAAAAAACTGTAATGATAAACAAACATGAGACCAGTGGATAGCAAAGCCCACCAAAAGTTGAAGGATGGCTCAGGAGTATAGATGCCTACAAACATGGGAGAGAGAGAGAAAAGGGAAAGTCACATTCAATAGGATAATTATTTTTGGCTTCCTCAATTCTTGCAATTAACAATAAGAAAGGAAAAAGGGGACACAGGAAAGGAAGGTGCCAAGGGTCCCCCCACGAGTTTAGCATTGGACATCTACATTTAAACACATTCCTTAAAAAGCAAAAACCTCATCCGCTATCATCCCATCGAAACGATTCCATTTTTAGCCCGACACAATCTGTCCGGTCTATTGCTTTAAGTCTGAGGTAGTAATTACTAACATTTCTACAAACTATATTTTCCTTAACAATTAATTAAATTGCTCATAATAAGCTTTGCGTCTCTAAAGTCACATTCCATAGGATTCTTGGCTTCACTCAGATGGAGCTGGTCCAAGGAATTCAGCCTGGCTGTACCAAACTGAGGGTTATTCCACTCCATCCGATGCCAGATTCACTTGCTAGTGAGCAAGATGCAAAGTAGCAAGCAGAGACATGCATAAATAAATACATATCTGGACTACTAGATCCCTGTGTCGGAGTTCTGGCCCACTCCTGCCAGAGTTTAGCTCGTATGTTCCTCAGGCAGGCACTTGGTACCCTTCCCACTCACCATTTCCAATTCTTTCCCATCCTAGCAGATTTTTAACACCTCCTGTGAAAGAATTCATCCAAACACGGTAATTGCACCTAAGATTCGGATCTTGCTTTCTGCACCTGAAACCTGTGTGTCCAAATTGGCTCGCCACAACCATTGTAATACATAAATAACAAAGTGTCAAAAATCACACAAACATGCAATGCCCAAGGGCCAACCTGCCCATAAACCAAGCAGGTGATCAAATGAGCAAAACAAGAAAAACATCATTTTTCTTGGAGCTGGGAAGGGAACGTCAGATCTTAGGAGTCACAGCAGAAAGAGTCTGTTCTCCACAGTCACAATTTTACCTCCAAGAACACCTCTAATGAAAGTCTTAGCTTAGGAGCAAGTTCATAATTATGTACCGTGTGTTTTCCAAAACTGCCTAGGACGACATGCATGCATGCACAGGTTCGGTTGAACCGGTTGCAGCTTTACAAGTCTGGTAGGCTCGGCCTGTTTATATCAGCACCTGGAACGAAGGCTAGTAATTTTGGAGAAAACTGGGATATTAATAAGCGGTTGAGCCGGGGCAAACGAGCTGCCTGCTTCTCTAGCCAGCCGCCTCTTGTCGTATGACCAATTTTATCATGAGAAGGCGAGGATTCCTGGGGAAGACAGTAATGCTAAGGAAAGCAGAAGGGCAAGAGAAGAGGAAGACCAAACAGGAAATGGACCAAACAGGATGGAGCTGAGCAGGGCTGTCCAGGACGGGCCATTTGGAGGGTGTTCTTTTATATGGTCACCGTAAGTCGGAGACGACTTGATAGCAACAAAAAGCTACACAGAGAATTTGCTGGGCGATGAATGAGCTGCATCCCGATTGTGTTATCTTTGAGTGGCACAACTTCGGGAAAAGTTGTGGGTCGCATTCACCAGGCCCCACTTTGCAATGCCCAAGTCAGTGCGCTGTGCGCAAGTTAAGCTCAACTCGAGCAGGGAATTGTCCCAGGATCCTTGACTTCCCAGAAAATCCGCTGGGAAGAGTGGGGGGGGGGGGGGTTGCCTGCATTCCCCAGCAATGGAAAAGCTTTCCCAGCACAAAGCTGCTTATCGGATTTCTTAGCCACTGAGTGGCTGAAGGTCAGCAAAGGCTGAGGAGGGTGTGAAGAGGCGAGTGCCGGGCTCCACGCAGACAAGGATGCTTCGAGTGCACGGGGGGGGAATGATGAAGCACCGGCAGCAGGAGAATTAAAAAAGGATGGCCTCGGGATCGCAGAGAGGATGGGAAGAGTTTTATCCTGTGCCATCGGCCAGGATGGCAAGCCTCCATGTTGCGGGATATCATGGCCACTGAACTCCTTGAAGGGGCTTCTGCTCTTCGTTTTGGTATAGCCACTCCCAGGGAGAATGCAGCCTTCCCAAATCCTGGATGGTATAGCCACTCCCAGGGAGAAAAGTCCTAGGAATCATGGAGATGATGCCCTTATGTGCCACTTCTTGGGGGTCCAGACTGGCAGCACATCTCCACGCAGCTCCGGCCCGATTTCTGATCCAGAGTCAGACTAGCCTGCGATTGGGTATCCAGAGAATATGGCCTGAAGGTGGGGAGGCTTCGGAAGAGCCTGGTGTTGGGATCTGGAAGTCAATTCAGCCACTCCGGCGAGGCCCCTCAATGCAGCCATTTCCTCTCCCTCCTCCTCCAATATAAGGAAATGAACGGCTGGCCACGAAACAAGGCAGAGGAGTGGAGTCAGGGGCAATGCCCGCCCTCTGCCCTCAGGACGGGGGCCACAGAGAGATCGAGAGACCCCAGCCCAGCCCTGCAGAGGGCCCTGCGGCTTTTGAGCAGGAGCTCTTTCCGCCCTTCTTTGCAAGGACAGACCAGGGACCTTCTGCCTGACCAGGAAGTGCTTCTGCCGTGGAGCCTCAGCTGAACATGGGGGCGCATGGCGCAGTACTTCGCCCTGAGCTCCGTCACGCCCAAGAGGTCTTGGCGAAACACGAGCTGCTTCTCCATCCCTGCACACCCGCCTGCCACGATGGGGAAGGTGTGGAAGCTGCAGGAAAGGACAGCAGACCGCCCCTCTACCTTCCTTGCTGTCCCCCATCACTTCCACCGATGCTGCATTTCCCCAAACTCGTCTCCATTCCTCCCCAATGGTCTTCACAAACGGAACTCCGTGAACACAACGGGATAGCTTCATGCAACGCTGGCGAGCGCGCAAGCATTGATGCCCAGGATCCAAGGTGCAACAGCTGACTGTCTTGTGCGTTTTAACGTGAAAGGTGTGTGTCTCTGCGTGGGTGACCTTTTGGAGGCTATCAGAGCGACACCCTTTCTTCCTTCACACACCCAGGGGTGACTGCACTGGCTGACTGCAGAGTCCCTCTAAAGTGCAAGCACCTGTTTGTTCCCAGCCCAGAGGATGCAGAAGCCGTTCGAGCGGGTTGCACACTTTGCGGCTACTCCCAGCCCTTAAACTGTTTGACAGAACTGCCTGCAAACAACTGCAGGAGCCTGAAAGAATTAGCCACAGAATTAATGAATGAAAGACAGATAGAAAGCTGTTTCTGCTCCTCGGAAAATCTGCTACTGAGCACGCAAATGCTTTTTTGAAAGGCAAGATAGTTCTATCTCCTCCTGGTGGTGGATGAGAAGCAGAAAATGGTCTCGCGGGTAAAGTATTGTGCTGGAAAGGCACTTTCCAACACAAGGCACTCTGTTTTCACACAACTGAGTTTGCAACGCATTGCAAAATTACTTCCACACTCATTTGCACTAGAAACACTACTCTCCACTTTCCCACACCAGATTGGATAGTACATCAGAAGAGATACTGGGAGGGGACTTAATCCACAAACCTGAAAGTATACAAAGTTTAGGGCTGCGACACAAAGATCTGGGGAAAACAAAGGGAAAGCCCAGAAGTTTATTTTAAAACACTGCCCCATTTCTTCCAGACAGTTTTGGAAAGCATTTTTCCTGGGGTTTTTCCCATACACCCAAGCCTTCTGTCGATACGAAGCAGGCTAGAGAGTCATCCATATTAAACGATGAAGCAATTGCTAACCTGCACCATTTCTGTTGGAGGGCAGATGTTTGAATGCTGCTCTGCATTTTTTAGAATACCCCCCTGCATCTGAAAAACAGCAGGGAAACAGGCAAGCTAGGAGACGATTCACATGTGCAGTTCCCCATCTGAACTTAGCAATGGCACAGCTAAGATGTCCTGTTGCAATCAGGGATGCTTTGAATTCCAAGATGGCGTGATCTCTGCTTCCCATACCGATGGATGGATCCCCCTCGGAGGAGCATTTGGGGGCTTTTAATTTTTAGCTCTTAGTGGGTTTATTTTAAATAATACATTCCAAACTGCATGTTGAAACTCTCCTTCACTCTGTCTTTAGTCTCTCACCTCTAGCTGACTTCCTACTTAGCCTCTGCTTTTAGAATTGCTACCATTGCCATTGCTTTTAAATTCAAATGTTATCATTTGTGTTCCTGGTTTTATTATTGGTTGTAATGTGTTTTTGTTATGGATGCCACAATTAGAGTTCCAGCTACAGGGCAAATCAAAACCTTGGTTGCTGGATGAGTAAACAGCAGCTACAGCCCAAAGAGACTGAAGCTGAACGGAACAGAGCTCTGCCAAGCCCTTACTCTTAAGGGTGCCTACAAAAGCCAAGTAGCAACAGTGATCGGGACCGCTTTCTGTCCTTCACACAACACTAGAAACCAGAATAGCAGCTGCTGTGTTGTGGGAACTCTGCCACACTAACAAATCATGTTAACGATGAATCACCCACAAAGAGAGCCCACGCTTTGATGTTGCATTATGAACTCTGGACTGTTCGTGGTTAATAAACCATGGTTTGTAAGTGCATCTCAGTTCATACAGCACAACAGCCCATGATTCAACAACAACCCATAATTCAGTCCATGGTCTGGGTTGACATATTGGGTAAGCAAGGTTCTAGGCTTGACTCAAAGTGCACACACAAAGACCATACATTATTGTTTTTTAATAACAAAGACTTGGCAGGGTGGGGAGAGTGAATAAGGAATCTTTGATATTCTGCAAGCTGTTCACAGGAATATATTTTCGCTCTCTCTGAAAGTCCATGTGGCTAAAAATAAATCCGTACAAGAATTTTAAATTCTAAATGCTACATTAATTTCCTGGAGCCAGGCAATGGTTGCCTTTGCTTTATATTGCAACATCGTGTGCTGGGCCTTTTTGAGGATTATTTGCGTAATGGGGTAGAACTAAAACAGCATAATAATAAGCAATAAGAACATCACTGAAGATAAGCAGGGCTGAGTCACTGCATATTGTACAAGAGAATATTCTCCCTTTCTGACTGTAGCAAAAGCAGTTCTGGATGCTTTCCAACAGGTTAATCAGGAGGCCATGATTTTCAAGCACCAATCCTACTTCATCTGGTAGTTTAAGAAAGAGGAAGGCAAGCTGGAAAGGGTCCAGAGGAGGCAACAAGGATGGTCCAGGGAGTGGAAGCAAAGCCCTGTGAGGAGAGCTGGGCAGAGCTGGGCATGTTGAGCCTGGAGAAGAGAAACTGAGGGAGGCAGGGGAGCCCCCTGCAAGGGCTGGAGTCTGCCCCGAAGAGGAAGGCCAGGATCCCTTCTCCATCATCCCAGAGCAGAGGACATGGAATAATGGGCTCAAGTTACAGGAAGCCAGGTTCCGGTTAGGTATCAGGAAAATTTTGCTGACTCTTAGAGCACTATGACAATGGGACGCATGGCCCCTTCAACTCTACTGCTCACCAGGCGCCTAGAAGCCATGCAGGTGGATTAGATCCTGGCCACAGCACTCGGATCTTTTGCTCCCGAGAGACTGTTCACCAGCCATGAAATCCATTGACTTTGCCCAGATCTGCAGCGACCAAATTTAACAAAGTTCTCAGGGCAGGTCACTTTTACCAAGCCACCACTAGAGGGCAGCAGATGGCTACAAATAACTACGGGGAGACTGCAGGCAAGGAAGTGAGGAAATTCCAATAGGGTGAAAATCCAACAGGTTTTTCTTGATCCTGTGCCCCCGGATTCCTGCTTGCCAGTCCCACAGACACCAGCTCAGTATAATGTGAGCCAAGCCAAGGCCGGAATCTGCACCTTGTTGTTGTTGTTCTTAGTTGCGAAGTCGTGCCCGATCCATTGCAACCCCATGGACAACATTCCTCCAGGTTCTCCTGTCCTCCTCCATCCCCCGGAGTCCACCCAAGCTCACACCAACTGCGTCAGTGACTCCATCCAGCCACCTCATCCTCTGCCGTCCCCTCCTTCTTTTGCTATCTATTGCTCCCAGAATCTGCACCTTAATACAATACTAAGTCAATTTGCATAAGTGTATGCAAATTGTGCAAATCAGCCCCATTGGCTGCTGGGACAAAGGAAGGGGGAAGTGCTGGATACTCCATTTCTGGAAATGTAAAATCCAGCTGTTCTCAGAAGAGTTTTCCATCCAGGGAAATGCACACCCTTCCCAAGGTAACATCTGAATACACTCCTGAATCTACTCCCAAGTCTGACCCGCAACAGCAACAAAGAGACTTTGCAGAAATCAGCATGCATAGTGTTAATACCTGGAACCTGCCTTCAATATCAGCAAATTTTGGTAAAAACAAACCAAGGAAGGAACGGATCGTGGTTCTAAAATCCCACTGCAGGCCATGAGGAGACCTAATCTGCCTGTCAAACTGCATTGCAAACACTTCTCTGCTCAGGCCTATTTGGCGCACCACGTTCAATGTGACGAAATTTCAGGAGGTGCAAAACAAAGCTGCTACAGCTGCAACCAGAACCATTTTTAAAAGCGTGTGACTCCTCACTGTACCAATCTCAGCAGCTTCCAGTCTGTTTACAGGCCCAATTCAAAGCACGGGTGATAAGACTTGGAAGATTTGCAACCGATATGCTTTGAAGCTAGACCCCTCCCTTCAGATCCCACCTGTTCGCAGGGAGTTGCAGAATATTCTGGGCATTGTGACTGTAAGGGAAAGGCACGCTTTATATTTTCTGATTTTATTTATTCAAGAAGGTGCAGCTGGTGGAGCTGCTGGAAAACGCATTCTCTGTTTTGCTGAGAGCAAGGCAGCTCCCAGTGGTACAACACGCCTTATACAGACCGTACCTCCTTTCCGGAGCAGATAGATGGGAACAATGTAAAGCATGACATGTTGGATGTAATACACTTCCAGTTCAAAAGGCAGCTGTGGAAAAACAGAAAACAAAGCTGTTAAGGACATCGTGTTAATTATGCATAACGTCACCTTTGCCAATAAGCCGCTTGGAAGAGGGACAAAAAACAGTACTGAGTGACAACGGCAGTGGGAAACGGAAGACCAGACCAGCCAAAGTTCAGCATTCTAAATTCCCATTGATTTCATCAGATTTAGGACTTAGAAGTGATTAGCTTTAGCTGGATCATGCCAAATGTCATTAGCCATGGCAAACTGCAGTGAAAGCAACCCTTCTTTGGCAAGTATGTGACATTTCACAGTGAGCAAGGTTTGCCAAACAGCTTGCCCGGTTATTATAATGTTTCCTTTCTTCTCAGGAGCCCCACTTATGAGTTCTCCATGCACAGGAAAATCAGGAACTGCCTTAGGCTGATCGAGGCTCATTCACACAAAACCAGAGGTTGAGTATGGGTTGAATGTGGGCAATCACTGAACTATGGGTTATTGAAACACAGGTTGTGTCATGTTGGGGCTGAGCATCAAAACTAATTCAGCGTGTTCATCTATTACCACCCCCCCCCCCAAAAGAAAAGTAGGATGAATTAACCCTAAGCTATTTCCAGGTATTTTGAGATTTCCTGGGAAGCTGCCTCATTCCAGGTCAGATCCAAATATGGGCCAGGTATCCCACTATACATCTGGCTCTGACAGCAGCTCCCGGGGTTTCAAGCCTGATGGAAGAGGAGCAGAATGCTTAGTCCTTGATTAGTAAAGCTGCCTTACAGGGTGAAGACTAAATTGGTCCAAATCCTGATACGAGCATGCCAAAAAATTTGGAAAGCAAATCAATGCCCTATGGACTAGAAACTTTCAATATACATTCCAATCACTAAGAAAGGATATGATAAGGAGTGCAACAACCATGGGACCTTTGCACTAATTTGCCGTGCAAGGAAAGTGATGCTTGAAATGTTGCAACGAAGAATTTTACAGTTTCCAGAAGCCTGGAAAATAAGTTCCCAGCACAGATAGAAAATCTTCACAATAGCTCAATGTGTGTGTTCTAGCCAACTCTTGACAAAACTTTTATATACAATGTTTCTGAACATGTGATTGTTTTTCCAGTTTCAGATTAAAAACAAAACAAAGCACGAAGTATTCATTTCTGCCACGGTGTTTCCATGGTTGTCAAAATGCTAGCAGGTTACACAATCACCGCACAAAGACGACAACTCTATTGTGACCACCACACGTGGAACAAAACTGCATGAAAATGGTTTCTTCTAGAAGCTGGCAAGTCAGCAGAGTATATTTCCAGATGCGATATCACACAACTCGCATCCTTTCTAAACAAAAAGAATTAAAAAGGAAGGGGCCACTGCCCACCGTAGAATCTAGCTGAGGCAGAAGGAAAGAATGCAGTTCGGAGAGGATTATATGCCGCTGAAAAAAACTGACTCAATGCCCAACTCCTGCATTACATTCAACCCTGGGCACACTCACCAAAACATCTTAATTTAAGAGCAAGCACCAGGATCCTCAGCAGGGAGCATAACAATGCCGTTCCTTTCCTCCCAACTCAAAATCCTAAGTTTGCCTATGTAGTTCAACAGGACGTAACTGTAACTAAAAGGATGCAGCTAAAGTGCATTTTCTAATCAGCAGGGTCAGGTTGCAAGACCAACCCAGAATCCCGGCCCTCCAACATCAGCCCTGGCAAGCTGACAAAAAAAATACACTATTAACCTCTGCACCAACATGGCCAAGATGCATGACCAGGCAGGGAATGCTGGCATATCAACAGAAAAGGCGTGTCATTGCACGCTGCCAGATCACTCCCATGCAGCCATTCCGGCTTTGGTGAGTTATGAGAAATTTATCAGTTGCCCAATACTGCACCACAGCGAAAGACGGGAAGTGCGTGTGTGACTAAACAAAAAGCAAAGAGGAAGCAAGTGGCCTTCTCGTTGAGAAAGTCTCTGGTTGCGGCACATGCACTAGGAAGAAACGGCAGAGGATGGGCGGTTTGCATTCCTGGCCTGCCACTGTGGGCTTCCCAGAGGCCTCCGTCTGGCACATGGGGGAAACTGGGCCCTGGACTAGACGCTTCTGCCGTCTGGCACCCTGTGGCATTCCTTAAGTCTAAGATCCAAAAACTCCGAAGCCGGATGGGCATCCCCAACCCCACAGCACAGTCTCAAGGAACGGGAAGAAAAGAAATCCTTGAAGTATGAAGTCGCCTGCTTCACGCACACCTTTCTATATAATGCGAAAGGGGAAGAACTGGTTCTGGATGCAGAGTCCACAGGTTTCTAAGGAATGAAAGTGACCCTGCAGAACAGCTGCACACACAAGCTCCCCTAAAACCATTTTTAAAAGACACAAATTATCCTGGAATTTTGCAACAACGTAGATAACTATTTCCCCAACGAAACAGATAGCAACTGTTTGGTTTGTGTCCAGCCTAGTTGTGGTTATCTTCACCTCCGGGGAACCTCAGTGCACACACTGATCCAAAAGCAATACTTGTTCCCTCTTTAAACATTTTAGATCCCGGTGGAACAGAAACTTCCAGGAGCATCACAGTCACAAATGTTCGCAAGATTAGAAGAGACAGCAAGCCTACCATCTCCCAGTCCCATTCTAGTCTTGTTTTAAATACAGCAACATTTTTAGAACGTGTCTTTGAAAGAAAGAGGCAGCTAGCAAAATCTTTTAAGCTCAAAATATGCTCAGTTCATTGTGCCACAAATGCTACGCCTGAAGCAAAAACTTTTCTGTGCCATGTCCCAGCAGTTGCTTTCACTCTCCAAAGTTCTGCAAGGGAGAATCCTGTAAGAGAAGCACAGTTTCATTGGAACTATAGGTCGAAACCCTTTCACACGAGTTTCAGCACCAATGTTTAAATTCTGCTGTATTCCCTGACTTACAAGCCACTGCTCCTTCGAAACTTACAGTGCACAAGATATTGGTTAATTCTGCATATCTGTGTTATCAGCTCTGAAACAAAAGGCACAAACAAATGAAATGTATTTAAATCACATCTTTGCTTAGTGCCAAAAGACAATAAAATAATTTTCATTTAATGTAGCCACAGCTAAAACTGTGCAGAACATGAAAAGCTTTCAGATTTCCCCAGTTTTTCCCCACTATAGTTCAACTTGCATCATTAATCACTTCCATGATAAATAAAGTTCCTGGTCTAAATTCATCCTTGGATCCACACCAGGATGTATTTTTGTAATCGATCCGAAGAACCTTTGATTACAGGGTGTTCTATAAATTAGCCACATGAAGTGTTGAAACATTCCCAATTTATCCCCAGGTTGCTCACCACTTTGTCTTTTTACATGTTTATACCATTCTACAGCCAGAGCTTGCTGATCAGTTCACAGAACAAACAGAAAACCATGGATGAACATGACTGCCTTGTCCAAAACCATCTACAAAGCACAAAGCTGAAGGGGAACCTGATCCAAGTTAAACACTGGCTTTGACAGTTTGAATTGAGCATGCTGAGAGCCAGTGCGGTATCATGGCTAAGAGCATGGGCTGGGAACCAGGCGATCTGGGTTCTAGTCCCCATTCGGCCATGGAGGCAGCCATGGCGTGACTTCAGGCCAGTCACAGACTCAGCCCAACCTACCTCGCAAGGTTGTTGTTGTGGAGTTAAGATTGCGAGCAGAAGAAAAATGAAGTAAGCCGCTTTGAGTTCTTTGTAAGAAAAAGGTGGGATATAAATCTAATAAAATAAATAAACAAACATGCAGCTTCCAAAACTAACACAAACATGGGAATAGACTGTGGCCTAGCAAAACTGTTCTGGCGGTCCAACAATATAGGCAATTTCGTGAGGAATTGGGGAAAAAGAATAAAGAGGCCTTTTTCTACATGAAAGCCAACATTTTACCAAGGTTCCTGCTTCCAGATTCTTTGCCTCTTTACAAATGTTTCACCTCCACAAAGGTTTTCCTTCTCTGCTTTCTATCCCTTCCATTACACAATCACTAGGTGGCACTGTAGTATAGCAGAACAGCACAAATACACGAGGGTTTGCTGCTCCCGCTCACAAGCAAGGCCAGGCTTTCCTCAATCCACATGGAGTTTTCAACCCGGCATTTGCTGCTTCCATGGAAACGGTTACCAAGAACAGGACAGGGTCTGGAAGCAAACAGGGTTGTGCTGAACACCCACAAACTACCCCGAGTAAAGAATCACAAGCACACCATAAATATCTCAGAGGGGTTCAGAAAGCAAGCTGACACTCAGCTTAAACAATGGAGGTGTGCATTTGAGAATGCATGGTTTTGTTTTGAGTTTTATCCACTAAAAAGCGGCCATTTAAATTTAAAATTGCACATAACCTCAGAACAGATGTATTTGAAATGTTAATTTGTTTAATACAAGTTTACTAACAGTTTAATAAAAGCTGTTCTCTATTGTTAGGACTTCTTTATTTTTATAGGTGGCTGCCCATCCTTACTTCCCCATAATGCTCCCCTTACAAAATGTCTCTACATGGGAAAGTATCCCAAATTGGATATTCTCCAAAAGAGATTTTTAAGATCACCTTGACTTAAATTACTGCCCCGGATTCCAGCTGTACTCCTTGGAAGTCCACCCTCTGCTCTTCCTACTGTGGACACGATCCACAGGTCCATTTAGAAGGGAGCTTTTGAGACACCATTTGCCCCAAAGGGCGGTGACTGTTTTTTTCAGAATGACTTGAAAACGGTGGCTGAGCAGAGCAAAGCAATGCCAAAACCTGCCGCTGTCACAGTCTGGCCTCCAGAAGAGCGGACGGTGCCAAGCTCTAAGTTTAGCAACCGTGGCTTGGTGTGCAGACTAGAATTGCACATGCAGTCTAGAATTTCTAGACCATACAATCGAGGGCAAGGGTAGGAAGCCCTCTGTCCCCCAAATGTTTTGGGAAATGACAACCCACTGGCCGCGCCTACTTGGGCTTATGAGAGCTGCAGTAAGAATTCAGGTGCCGAATGGGACACAAAAGCCCAGCATACATTAAAGAATCTGAAATGAAGCCTTGAGCTTGTCCCTTTTAAAAGGAAAAGGACAAGTTTTCCTCTCTGCTTTAGTGATGTTGCCATTTCATCACTCACTGGGGTGTAGCATCAACTACTGAAACCTGGATTACCCATTTCCACTGAGACATAATGTTCCACCAAGGATGTCTGTCAAAGGGAACAGACGTGGAGTTTATGGGGGAGAGAAGAATGAAAGCACAAGCACCTGGAGTGCTACCAAATACCGACTGGGAAACTTGAGGTCAGTGCTAGGTTTCGGTCTGAGGGCCAGCGAGAGAGAGAATCGCCCCACAGAGGTTCTGTGTGATCAAGTAGCAAGGACAGGCCCTCCGGAGCTAAGAGTGGCACTCGGCAGATGTGGGACACGAAAGGCAATCAGCCAGTCGTGAAACGGAATACAGCCAGACTTTCTGCTTGACCACCATGACATCTAAAGGACACCCTGTTTATGCCAGCGGCATCTTTTTAACAAAAGCAGAAAAATTCTCTGTTCTGTTTACAGCAAAAAGATTTGATGTTGCATATATCAGAGGTTCTGAACCGACTTTTATACTTAACACCGATGGCGTTTCATATACTCCTACAAGATGGAACAATTTCCCTTTGCCATAATTAAAATGATCCGACAGGAAAAGAGGGATTAGGAATGAAGGCAAATCAAGCCATGCTTCAGTGTATCCACCTTCCGAGGATTAAGCGTTTAAATTACCCAGGCAAAACTTTTCAAGGAAGAAGCTTTGCAGATTTCATATAAAGCGAGAATGTAAGTTCAGGCAGATCCCACAAGCCACAGAATTAGCTTGTTTTTAGTCCCCTGCATTAATTCCAAGCTCATGTTTATTTGTAGCTCACCATGCCAAAGGCTTACAGCAAACAAATGTCATCACATTGGACTTCATTGTTTCTCTGGCAGCAGTTTTACTAGAGCCGAGTAAACAAATATTTTGGAGAATCAGGGCATGGGAGCTTCGCCACTCGCAGGGACCACCTCTAGGAAGGGCATGGGGCGAGAGTGCAGAAACGCAGAGAAGGAGGATGCAACAACACGGCCACCAACAGGGCAGAGCTGGGGAGCTACCACCTGGCCTCCGGCTCAAAAGGGCCCCCCTCAAAAGGCCCAGGACCTGGCTACCTAAAGGACAGCCTTCTCCCATTTCTACCTGCCCGGCCGCTAAGAACTGGGCAGGAGGTGCTTCTAAAGGAGCCATCCCTCCAGGAGGGTATGGGGGATGACAAACAGAATAAGGGCCTTCTTGGTGGCTGCCCCCACTTATGGAAGAAGCTCCCCAGAGAAATTCGCCTGGCGCCAGCATTACTCTCGTTCTGCTGCCAGGCATCAGGGCAAAGAACATGTCGCGCTGAAGGTGCTGCGTGGCATTAGCCACAGTTGTTGGGGGGTCGTTATTGGGATCGCAGCAGGCAGGGCTTAGCCCAGCCCCTCCCTAAGCGTGACTCTCCCTCTGCACCCCCCCTCCCCCCTACAGGGACCATTTACTTTTCTGGATGCTCCTAACGAGATCGCCAGCCCTGCGAGAGGAAAGGTCATTTAACTGGCTTTGCAGCGATCCGACTGGCTGCAGCTCCTCTCAGCTAAAGCCATGATAATCTTGGTAATGAAGGTAATCATTAATCTGGTCCTAATCAGCCCAGAGGTAGATTTTTAGGAGAACATCTCATTAAGTTTCTCCGTGCTGTTGAGGAAGAACACGCACTGGCAGCGTGAACAGTCTGCAAAATTCGATACTGTTACAGCTAAACTTTTCCCCGCAACTTTCCGCACAGGACAAAGCTGGTATAAATGGCGGGCACGTCTCATCCTAAAACATTAGGGAACGAAAGTATACAGAACTGTGCCCTATATGTTAAAAAAATAAATAACCCCCCTCTAGATTCTTATCAGGATTCAGTATGGTGTTCTCTTATTTTAAATACCTCAGATAGTGTTGCAATATAATCATGCCTGTTAAATTGGTGTTTAATCATTGCAGGATTACATACAAAGAAACATAATCATAAAGAACACTTTGTTGTGAGAAATGTGTGATGTTGTTGTATTCTGTAGCAATCTGCAGAATCTAATTGTGTCGTGCATACAGTTCCATCTCGGCCTTGCCTTGTATCTGATGCAAAGGTTGCACTGACTTTCTAAAAGAAGGAAGCTTTATGGAAGGACAATCATGTCAAGTAGAAAGAGGGAGACGTCATTTACTCACCAGTCGAGTGTTAACAACAGGAAACAGCAGAGCCAGGAGAGCCCCATTAAGCATATGCATCTGCAACCTAAAAGAAATTCCTTGGGTCAGTTTCATGATGATGCAACATCCACTGAAAGTGATCAGAACATCACTGGGTCCTGGCTTAGTGTTTTGAGAATGAACCTAAGCACCATTTTGGTTTCCATGGTTGGCGCTCAGCTGGAGAGTCATCAAGAGCTGGAAGCGCATGTTTCTGGTTTGGATTAATCATGGTTTGCTGTGCCGTTTCCACCCAACAAACCTTTCACATTAACTACGGGTAGTAGAAATAAGCCACCTTCAGCAACAGCTTCCACAACAATCCCGCTAGCCCGTGAGCCCGGGACTTCAGCCACTGGCATTTTTGAGTCCATCTTTTGAGTCCTTCCAAACATGGAGGAAAAAATACACAAACGATCTGGAACGTTTACCTAACAGAAGAGGAATCTGACGCACCTCTCTAACTGTACTTAGTTTCACAATCTGCTGCCAGCCCCCCGTGTCTATAGGGCATTTTATATAGCCTGATCACAAAATGTTCTCGTTCCATCACAGACAACATGTCTTTATAATGACTAATTACTGAAATAGAAAATTGAGAAATAGATCCTAGAGCAAACACTATCTGTTCCCATTACTGGAAAGGGGATTGCATGTTTCAAGGTTGCTTGGCAAGACCAGTTGTTGAAAACCACCAAATGAGCTGACTTATCCAGGAAGTGGCCGAATTACATACACCAAGAGATCATTCCCATGGCAGACACAGTGGACAACAGAACTTCTTTGCGTGGGTGGGTATGATTTCACAGTGCTGGGGATTCTTGATGCGATGAGCTTATATTAATAGACTTAAGCATTCTGTTGAGCTTGAAGCAAAGCAGACATGAGCCTCCAAAACAGCAGAAGACTGAAATGCATGCAGTATTGATAATCAGACATAATGTGGTGTATAAGCTGCCTGCATCAACAGAGGGCCTTTTAGCAGAAGTATTTTTTAACCAAGGGGAAAAAATGTTCTGTGCCTGAGGTAGAAAGCACTGCCATCTGTTATCCCCACGGAGAGGTTTGCTTTTGGGGAAGTCACTGCACTGTAGTTTGGAAGAGTTCTGTGACATCCTATGAATTGCCTGTCCACATCTCAGTGCGGATAAACTTACAAATGCATGATAGACAAATTATATTATTGATTACAGGATGAGGGATGCTTTTCAGCCCATCTAGCAAGGGGGGTTGGAAGGAGAGCAGAGGAAACATTCAGCGTGACCAGCAAGCGGGCCCCTTCCAGGTTGCTCCCTTCCCCGACAGCCAAGCCTGCAAGACGCATGTCCGGTCGCTCTTGCAGGCAGCAGACCCCGTCCAATGTCCTGTAAGGCAAACTATTTGTGTATTCATTTCTCTAAATCACTTACAGAAGTCATTAAGAGTATTACCTGAAGAGGATCATTGAGAAATGGCAGGGCGGACAGGCCAGTAGAAAAATCTGAAATAGTTTAAGAAAAACAGTCACTCTCATGTTCGTGTTAAAGCTCTCCGACAGGCTGTGTTTCAGAGTGAAATAAGGATGCTAATCGAGTATTCAATCAGTAGTGCAAAGTTTCGTCTCTGACTTTCCTCGGTAGCTTTCTCTTTATTTTGATGGAGGCATATGCCTATCAGACCTTGTATCAAAGGTTTATTCCCACTGCATTTCAGCCCCATCCGTCGACTTTTAACTTCTTGCACAAACATTTTCTGTAGGGCATAAATTAGAATAGCTCACCCAAAGCTTCTCTATATTTATTTATAGGCTTACTTTCTGCTAAAACGGCTTGAGGGCCCTCTTACTTTAAAAAGCAAACACTTCAGACTGTCAATACAGCCTCTGTATAAACATCCAGAGAATGAGAATATAGGTTTGGTCACATAAAGCACAATGCAGGTGGGTCTCATGATTCAGGAGGGAGAAAAACTCCCTTCCATCTCCAACCTTGTCCCCAACCTTCACATCTCAAATGACACCTCGTTGGTTCTGTGTAACAAGATGCCAAACTACCACGGGGATTAGGCAGATCAGTCCCCTAATCGGCAAAATAGATCACCACCTCAGCATTAAAACCCATAAATCACTTGTCATGTTAATTTTAACTGCAGTCGTAGTCCCCAGATACGGGGCTGTAAATATGATCTCGGTCAACAGCGGATGCACTTCTTAAATCTCCATGTCCTCATGACAGCAGGAACGCTAGTAGTTCCCAAATAAATACAGTCACCTTAACACACACATCTGCTAATGACACAACAAGGTGACGCATTTTAGCCAGCGAAGCGCCCCTCTAAGATGCACAACTTAATGTGATACGGGGCTTTGAGTGTCTGGGCAGTCAAGAGTGATGCCACCAGGAAGCAGACTCTCTCGGCAGACTTTCCTCCTGGTGGGATCGCCCAAAGCAGAGACACGCGACTCTGAGGCATCCAGAAGTCTCTCATGGTGATGGGGGCAGAGAAACTCCTGAGGAGCAGCGATCAGACAGCAGCTGAAGGCAACTCTGCTGGAGGATCTTTCGACAGACCATGGCAGCGGTGTTCAAGTGAACCCTGGTCCGTTCCGCACAAAGGAAGGCAATGATAAACCACTGCTAAGTATTTCTCACCTTGAAAGCCCTATGACAGAGCAATCCAAGGTGGAAGACAGCATATATCCCTGGCCAGAAGGCACTCAACCAGTAACTGGGGAAGAAGGGCAGGTAGAAACAGCGCTGCCACTAATGATGCCATTAGATCAAAGGCCGAAGGAAGTCTAGTGGCAGATATACAGAGAGGCGGAAGCCCAACGCTGCACAACGTATATGACTGGAACATGGAACGTGAGCATGGAACGTGGAACTGGAATGAAATCCAACTGGAAGCTTTAAAGCAAGAAAAGGAATGGTGGCTAAACATCCTAGCGCTTGATACGCCCAGACGAAAGTGGATTGGAATGGGGCATTTTCAGACAGACGAATTCAGAAGAGTTGCACTGATGCTGAGGCAACATTGGGATTAAAGGGGTTATAATGCAGAGTCTGACCGGATCACAGCAATTCTTTCTGTATTGTAGTCTTTCTCACCAAGCATGCATGGTACAGAGCACTCAGACGACTGGCTGAGGGAGACTCTCCTTCCTTCGCATTTCCTTGGACATCCTTCACCTCTCAAATCAAGCAATTAGGTTCAAAGGGAAGGCGGCAAGGAAACGTGACCTCCTCCAGGAGGATCAGCAGTGAGCAGATCCCCTCCCTTTATCAGCAGTCACTGCCAGAACCCAAATCACATCACCGTCTCCCTTTAAGCGGGACCAAGCATCCGGTGCTATGGCAACAGCATCCTTCTGTTTGCCCACCTGGAAAGCTATTGCTGCATCCCTGGAGCTTCAGCAGCATCTCGCCAAGCAGGACTTTAGCTATGCTGGAGACAGACTGCAGAGCAGCAAAGGCGACTGCTTCCCCATCCAAAATAACAAGAGGAATACATTATAGCATAGGTAACAGGCATTACTGCATAGGGTGACCACAGGATGTGAAAAGAAACACACAGTTTCTGTGACCTAAATACGTTTTGGAAAGATCAGCCACTATCCTGTTTATTTACTGAAGGAACTCAGAATCGTTGGCTTTAAATTAAGCCTGCCATTTGCGCTAAACAAATTCAAGGCTAAAATCCATTTTTCTGCACCCTGTTGTCAAATAGCACATCTAAGGTTGGCCCAGGCCCCTCGGGACAGTCAGTTCCCGCCGGGCCGTTCCAAGCGCCAGTGTCATTGCGATTGCGTGTCCACTTGCCATCCCTTTGATCTCAGCGTCTTCTGAAGCACTGATCCGCAAAACCAAAATATTCACCCCCAAGTTCCTCACTGGCTGCACAGACTGGGCTCGAGGAGAGTTGATGTTTCGCAACTCCTGATGGGCCAGAGGTTCCCCAGACCTGCAACGTGAGAACTAAAATGCCCATACTCGATTCATTCTGTCGAATATTTGATTAAAAAACAACCAGAAATCCAATCGCAAATGGTATCTAGGAAGCCAGAGAGCATCTGTGGAGGCTGTTCCTCCTCTAAGTAGTGTATTCTATTGACACATAACCCAACTGAACTTTCAGTGCTGGCTGATGTTCTACACATATGATCACCCTGATAGCTGGAATCCAGCTTCCAGTAAATCAAAAGCTAATGGATGAACACAGCCTCAATAAATGCAAGGGAAATTCTTGGCAATTTTTACAAGAGAGAAGAAAAATATCAATTAAAGTCACCGGAAGAAAGGAAAATATTAAAGCACAAGCTTATGCATGTTTAAACAGAAAAAAAAAGCCTACAGCACTAAGCATCTTTCAGACAACATAGAACTGTAAACTGTTTTGCTGTCTAAACATGCCCAGGATTGGGCTCTTAATGAGAAATCTGAAACTGAGACAAAAAAATGGATGTCACTACTTTTAAAAAGCAAATTTGCTTTTCTGCAAAGGCAGCAGCAGGGAAAGGATAAGAAGGTTGTCAGGAAGTTACTTCATGTTGCAAAGAGTATTTTATCAGTCCTCTTGAGCCACAAGTACCTTTTCTGAGCAACTCAAAGGTTTCCTCAACCGGACACAAAAACTAGGCAGATCAGAAAGCAAACAGACTGGTGAGGTCTGCTTATGCATGCTAAAAATCTACATACAATAAAAATACTGATACAAAAAAATGCAGCATAACATTCCAATATAAAACCGTCCAAAGTTAGAATATACAATATACAAAATTGAAACATCTAAAACAATTTCAGTAAAGCCAGACCTACATTTTGTCCACTGTAAACAGTGCCACATTGTTAGAAATTTAAAGTTCCCAACAAAACTCTCCCCAGATGGCAGTCCAAAATAGTACAAAACACAACACCTCTCTATGTGCCAAGTAAAATGTATCTGTGCTTTTGTTAAAGGGTACACCACATTCACAAACTCCCAAAAACAATTGAAACAAATACTTTTTTACAAAGCCCTCTGAAGAGGCCAAGTTTGAAAATGACTTCAGAACTTTGAAATAAATGTGTTTGCTTAAGGGAGAATTATATTTAATGGAAAAGGTATTTTCCAGTATCGGAACCAAAAAATATTAAGGATTCGTGTTTTTGCAACCAAATTACTATTCCCCATTCAAATGGCTCCAAGACACACAAGGAAGATGCTGCTCTTGAACTTACATTAGAGGAAGCCAGTGTTCAACCTAATGCAACCTGATACTTAATACAAGACGACAGCAATGAATACATCTTTTGTTTAAAAAACAATTTTGCTCAATAATAAAACAGCACTGATCATGTTCCAAACTGGTAGACTGGAAGTAATAAGGATCTATTTTTAAATGCTAGACAGAACAGAATTTGTCAGAGCAATATTATTTCCACAGCACCCACAAGCAACTAGGTATCTTACACAAAGAAAAGCAGCAAACCGGAAGGGAAATGGACATGAAAGAGTAAAGATGTGCAACACCAGTTTAAAAACATTAAAGTGAAGAAACGGGTTTCTAAACAATTGCCTGCACAACAAGCAAGAAGCCATGTTACTGGCACAACCCAGGCCAGAATCCCGTAGCCGTCAAACTTGGAAAATTACAGGGAATCCTATACAAGACTGGACAAAGGCTAAGGTGATGCACCCCGCCAGTCCTCCTGCCCTGCAAAACACTGGAATGGATGATTTCAACTGTCTTGCGACTTGCACTTTGGTGCACAAAGGAGGAAGCCGCGGCCCTCCTGGAACGCTCCCTCCCTTCCCTGTCTGCTCAAGCCCATCTCTGAGGTTGCAGCTACAGCCCTGGAGAAGCACCGGCACATGCTTCCTGCGAGGGGTGCAAGGAGGACAGGTGCTCCGAGGGCTTTGTCCCCGCTTCGACCTCAAAGCAAGTTTCCAGGACTTCCAAACGCTCCCACAGCTGCCTCGCAGCAACAGGACTGCACCATGGGGAGGCCCAGGCGCAGAGCTGGGGAATGTGTGGAGCCAGAGGATCGGGCACAGCGGGCTCCCGGTGTTGCTACAGGTGTGGCGACGAAGGAGGACAGGCAAGGAAAAGGGCGGCTACATATGTGGACGCAAGAGAATGAAGACAACTGACTTGAAGGATGGAGATGCAGCGGGGGCTAAAGAAGGAGCAGAATGAAAATGGCCGGGGGAAACTTTTGGGAGCAATTCCTTGGCTCTGAAAGGCCTTTCCAGACAAATCCATCTGGCCTGCTCTTTACAACTTTTCAGGCGCTTGTGTTTATGAACACTGCTCTTTATTTAATGCAGCCTTGTAAATAAGCCCACAAACACTGCCTAAAATATTTCTTACTAGCCAGCGAATAGACAAGAAGTCTGAGTTTCTTTGTTGTCTTTGCAGGAAACCACTATCAAAATACAGGATACGAGGGTTTTAGTGGGCCAATAAAAAAAAAAAGGTTCCTTCCACATGGGCTGCCGAGAGGAAGGACGGGACGGAGGGAT